GTTTTGTTGGAATGCTAGTGTGCCCAGATCAAAGTCCTCATTCCTTCATGATCCCTGCGCGGAGTCTGGGCAGCTCTCCTGTTGGAGACCCTGCCCTCCTCATGACCCTCCTGCCTGGGAAACAGAAGGAGGTGGTGTCTCCCCTACAGGGGGCTCCTTTGGTGAGGACAGAAGCCACTCCAGAGGGACAGAGGGCAGACAGGGTTGCATTCCCAGCAGGGCCCACCAGACACAGGCAGCATTGTCACTGAGCTGGTCAAGGGCCATGGCTCAGGGCCTAAGGCAGCATGCGGAGAGGGTGTTATGCTGTAGCTTCCTCACACATGTACACATTCTGTGTCCTAGCTCTACTGTAGCCAGAGAGTGTGGCTGGCAGGTGGAGGTACCTGTGAAACGTGTCGGGATCTCCTCTCTGGCACAGTGCACGATCAGTCTTTGGGCCTCTCCCGTGTATGTCTGGACCTTTCTGCAGGTGGGTAGTTGTTGCTGAGGTAGGTATAGCATCACATCTGCACACTATGCAGTGTGTGTTCATATGTCATTCATATGTGCAGCATATATGTGTGTGTGTATTTGTGTATATTACATGACGTGTGCGTGTTTGTGTATATCACATGACTTATATGTGTATGTAATAATCTATACTATATAAAGATACATGCATATGTAAATGCAGGCATATATACATACATAGATATTCGTAGGTATATGCATAGATGGCCTCAATCTTATTGCTGTGTTATTCAAATTCTGCCTTATTTTCTCTTTGCTTCTTGATTCCCTGATTTTTGAGAGAAATCTGAGAAGACCACAACCACTCCTGTGAATTTGCCAGTTTCTCCTTGACTTTCTGTCAATTTTGCCTTATATATTTAAAAAGCTATGGCATCAGATCACAGTCCATGATGGTGGCATCTTCTTCGTGGATTTGAGCCTTTATCCAATTAAGCATTCCCTTTTGCTCCTTAAAAGGAAAAATGCAGCCTGGAGTTCTGTGGTGTGCTGTAATTGTTTCCATAGCTTTCCTTCTGAGAGCATTTGCCGAGTGTAGACTTGTTTGTATTTTCAGCTACTAGGTGTCGTTTTAGTTTTGGGGGGAGTGTTTTGTGTATGGAAAGTAGCAAGAACTTGTAGTATTTTTTTTTATCCCAAGATGAGAATTTCCATTTAAGTCTGTTGTAATTACTGACACGTTTGACTATTTTCTACCATTTGACTTCATATGAACGATTGATTTTTTTTCTCCTTGATTTTGTTGTTCCATTTAATTCCTCTCGTGATTTAAGGTCATTCCTCTATTTCCACCCTTCCAGTGGTATTGTCAAGTTTCATTTCCTATATTTCTAAGCCTGCCTTTTTCTCCCAGCTCTTACGTCTGCCCAGTGTTTGTTTCTCCCTCCTGAGCAAGATGAGAACGTCATTGCACTTTGGTTGCCTTCATAATCCTTCTCTGCTTCCCCCTAGTTGAGGCTATCTGGGATTTTTATTCTAGGCTATTAACAGATTTTAATTTTTTTCAATTTTATTGAGGTATAATTCACAAATGGGAATTGTATATATTTAAGGTGTGCAACTTGGTGTTCTGATGTACATGCACATCATGAAATGATCCCTACAATTCAACATGTTAGTCACCTCCCAGTTACCATTTTCTTTTTTCTGTCTTGTGTGTGTGTGCATGTGTGTGTGTGTGTGTGTGTGTGTGTGTGTGTGTGTGTGGTGAGAGCACTTAAAATCTATCACCTTAGCAAATTTCAAGTTTATGGTAACAGTGATCACCATGCTGTATATTTGATGTTCAAATGTTTCGATTTTATATTTTCTGTTTAGCCTATTTAAGACTGTATCTTCCCTAACATTCATGAAGATTTAATGCCCTGTTCTAGAGTGTTCTGTTTGCTCTGCATCCTTGATACCTGCTGATTTTGATGCCTCTTTTGGGAAACTATTGGTTTTCCTCAAATATTTGACAGTTCTAGGTTGTCTAATGAGTCAGTTAAAATTGGTTGGCTGTATGTTTAATCAGTTTTAGATTAAAATTTGTTGGCACCCAAAATTACAGTGGCTTTAACACAACAGTGTATTCCTTTCTCACATAAGCAGAAGTTCAGAGGTAAGGGCTCCAGAGGGTTTCCACAGCAGTTCCACAAAGAGCCTGTTCCCTCCACCCCACCATATGTCTCTCTCATCTTCATGGCCCCAGATGGCTGCAGGAGCTTCAGTTATCTTGTCTGCATTCAGCCAGCTCCCTCTCACCCTCCCACCAGCCTCCACTCAGACCTGCTCACTATAACTTCTTCCCTGAAGGAAAGTGGCCCATGGCCATGGCTTACAACACTCTCAAAGTCATAAGCCTCGATCCACTGCCCATGGCTGGACTTGCCCACTGCCTGATTCCATTTGCTATCTGTTCTGCCCTTCTAGTCTCAACTCTCATGCCACCTCCCCCAGAGCCCCCCTACCCCGACTCCTCTACTGGAATGCCCGCTCTTCTCCCACTTCTGACCTGGTCCCACTCGTGGCATGTCTGCAGTCCTGAGGTACTTCTCTGCCTTGCTTCCTGGACAGAAGAGCCCTCAGGTACGGATGGATCTTCCTCATAACTGTACCCCTCAAACTATGCCCCCCCAGGGGGGATAGACAGGCATACCTCAGCAACTAGGTAATAGTGAATGAATGAATGAATGAATGAATAAGTGAGTGATCAGAAAACCTCATGCCTGAATGGCTCAAAACATGAGCAGTCAGTAATTGATTTCATGCCTGCCTCTTTGGTTCTTACAGCAGCTTACCCCTATGGCTTCCACATGGCACAGTGTGGACAGCCGGGCCCAGGCCTGGCTTCACCAGCAGCTACTGAGGGGCCTGAGCAAGCCCCACCCTCTCTGGGCCCTGGGCCTTGTCTACAAGGAGGGAGCAAAATTTCCCTTCCAAGGAGATGCTGCTGTCACCTCACTGGATCCAAGCATGCACCCATCTGAACCCCTCTGGGGGTGCTGCTGCTGGGAGAAGCCAGCCCACTGTCCCACCTACCAAGGAGTGGCCCTGGGCTAGAGAAGACTCCTTTGGTAAGAGTGGGCAGAGCAGCAGGTAGCAATGCCAGCGTGGCCAAGCAAAAGCACTTCTGGCCATGGAACTGGGCACCTGAAGATGGTTAGAATGGTGACATTCATGCTGTGCATGTCTGCGTAAGCACAGTGGCCTCCCTTTGGTGGCTGCCCACTCTGGTCTGATCCCCAGGCCCAGCCCCTCCCCAAGTCTGGTGCCACCTTCAGCATGGATGTTTCTGGATCCCGCAGACACAGAGCCAAGACCCACCCTAGACAGTGGGAGCCCAGCCCAGTGGTGCAGCCAGAGACAAGAGCACCGAGTACAGTATGGAGCTGGGTGGAGGTTTGGACCTGGCACCTGATAACAGAGGAACCACAGACAAGCAGGCAGGCCTTTCCTGAGGACACGTGGAGGGACCCACATGGCCAGGATTACACCGGGGGAGGCTGGAGAGCAGTCGCATGAGCCACGTCTTGGTTGCATCAGTGGTTTCAACCCCACTGCCTCAGAGTGGGGCTTGCTGGGGGCCATAGGTGCTAACGACAGACAGTCTCCAGTGCCTCCCAGTCCTGCTCTCAAAGCTTTAGGGGGTTGACCTGAAGATCCATATCTTTTTCAAGCTCCCAGGGTGACTCTGTCACACAGGTTAGTGAAGGCACAGATTCTGAGCAGACACAGGGGTCAGCTGTGTTCCTGGGAGCACTGACTGGGTAGGGGCAGGAGGAGCCTGGGGACAAGGATGTGACCAGAAAGCTTCTAGTCAGGTGGAAGGCAGAAGCCTGCCTTTGTGGAAGACACATCACCTGTGGCCGATGTTGAGCACCAGGTGGTTCCCAGACACTGTGGGAGTTCCTGCAGGGGCGCATCGGGCTTACTGCGTGGGGGAGGCCAAAAGGAGGGCGTGTGGCTGCCCAAGGCCCAGCCTGGAGGACTCAAGGATCATGCTGGAGCCTGGGTTTAGAGAAATGAAGAAGGAGCCGGTGGGTCAGAGGAGAAGCTGTGGATGTGGGCCTGAGGGGTCTTCAGGGTATCCACAGGCCACAGGAAGCTTGCCCGTGCATAGCCCAGACACAGATCCCAGCCCTGGACATGTCAGTAACTTTATTTGTGAATAGTGCAGTAGGAGCCAGTCAGGCCTGAGACAGCAGAGTTATCGTCTTGGGTGTTATAACATTCCCCATCCTGAGGGCTCCTGATGGCATATGTTTCTGTGAGTCAAACAAACCAAACCAGGAGAATTCCTTGTGCCCACCCTTCTGTCCGTGCCTCCCATGTGGCACGTGGTTCCCAGGGAGGGCAGGAGGGAGGGCTTGGCCTCACTGTGCCCCTGCAGTCTCATCCGGAAAGTTCTTGGGCAGATATGTGGTAGGACCCTCTGTGTCTTCAAAGCGGTTTGGGCTTGCCTGGGCCTCTGCCCCTACTAGAAGCTTAGCACAGGCAGCAAGGTTAGAGGGCCTAGGCCAGACGAGGGTCCACATTAGGTCATCTGGGCATGGAGAGGCCATTTGGGGGCATGGCAAGTTGCCCTCCCCAAGCCTCACAGGAGTGGGCCTGAGGAGGCCACAGGGAACCCCGCTTCTCTAGGAAGCTCAGCCTGGGCTGTGCACCTCCACACTGGACATGCAGTTCATGACAACAGGCCCTTCTTGGGAATGGACTCTGGCCAAGGGCTGAGCTGAAGTGACAACCAACAGGTCCCAGCAGTCCACTGACTCCAAGTGACCAGAGCCTCTCAAGGTGCCCTGATACCATCCAGTTCACAAGCTGTCTCACCAGTGATGCAAGGCCACCATGAGGGGCTGCAGATCCATCCCAGTCCTATTATGCTGGTGTACCCAGCACCCCCTGGGGCCCACCACCAGCCTGAGTCCCATATCAGCTCAGGAGGGAGCAGCCCAGTCTCTGAGGGAGCTGTCGACAACCTAGAGCCACCCGGCCTGAGTTCCCAGTCAGTAGTGAGCCCCAAACAGGGTGGCTGCCTTCTGCAAGATGGTCTTGTGGTTCGCATACAGTGGGATACGCCTGTCCACCACCTGCCATCGAATGGACACAGCCGGGTCACAGGTGTGCAGGTGCTGAAAGGACAAAAGCAGAACTGACACCCTCCTGCGCCAGTCCCTTGTCCGCCCAGCCACCCGAGAACCCCAGTGTGTGGGGGCTCCGCAGAAGGCCTGTGGAATCCCACTCATCCCACTCTAGTGGGAGTCAGAACACCGCCTCAAGTGGCAAGTGATGCATTGGCAAACCCTGAGGGTCCTCGTGGGGAAGGAAAACTGCACACAGCCTTATGGGAGCTGTCATCCTGCAGGTTTGCAGTGTGGGGCATTCTCGTCCCAGCTCTGGATTGTAAATATGCAGGATGGAGCTAAGCACAGGGGCAGACATCCCCATGAAAGGGGTGAGAGCCAGAAGCAAGAAGGCCTTGCCAGCCTCACTCCTGATGCAGTCCTGGAGGCCTCCCCAGAGAGCCTTCGTGGTCACCTCTCCAGCCCTCTTGGCTGCAGCTACCTCCTGGGGCTCTCTGGCTTCTCTCTGGCTCCCCACCTTGGCACCTTCTGACCCTTGCAGCTTCCCCTCCCCCAGAAGTCCCTGAAGCATGTCCGGCCCCCCTCCCACTTCGCCTCCCCTACTCCTCAGAGCCCAAGCCCTGTACAGAGTTCAGCCTCTTCAGCTCCACGTCGTTCTGGTCCTGGAAGTGGATGCTGACAGCCACCGTCTCGACCCAGGCATTGTCTGTGTTCCTCGGGTCATCCATGTATCCTCTGTACACCTGGAGGGCAGGGTGAGGTCAACCCGTACAGCAATGGACCCCGAGTCGCACCACAGCCCACCATGCCACCTATCTTCTCTGTCCTGCTCCAAGTACAGTTCCCCCCACCAAGATCCTGGCCTGGCTCTGCCCCCACCCCACCCAGTCTGCTCAGAGCTGCCTGACCCAGGCTACATTCTTGACCGACACACCTTGAGGGCTCACAGCCCCTGTAATCCTGCTCCTAGCCATTGGCCTGACATAGAGGCCCTCGGACATTGGACCTGACTCAGCTATCCTTGGCTTTCAGAGATCTTGGAAGGATCCAGATGGGATGGCCAGGACCTTCAGACATTTTGCTCCATGAAAGAAGTCAGGCACAAAAGCCACTGCCTGCAGGATTCTGCGTATAATAAGTGTCTAGAACAGGCAAACCCAGGAGGCAGACTAGGAGTGGCCAGGCTCAGGAAGGGACTCAGGCTGATTGCTGATGGGTATGGGTTCCATTCTAGGGTGATGGAATGTTCTGGACCTGGATAGAGGTGGTGACTGCACAATGTTGTGAATGTGCTAGATATCATGGAATTGGGCATTTAAAAATGTCTAATTTTATGTTATGTGGATTTCATCTTAGAAAATATAGATACATCCTTTTTAGATCATAAAAAGAGAGAGATGGCAATGTCCCTGAGGTCCTGCACAGTTAAACCCTATGAAGCTGCTGGGTTTGTTGGTCAACCAGTCAAATGTCCACAAGTGTGTTTGTTTCTACTAAGATGTGACAACAACAGAGCTGGTGACAACTCTATGCCCAGTTAGAGAATGTGGAAATAAATCATGGGGCGTGCAGACCATGAAATGCTAGAGTCCTACAAGGAGCGAGGTCAATTTGTCAGTCTTGACTTAAAACAGGACCATAGGGCAACCCCTTCAGGTCCCCTCTCACTGTGGAGAGCTTTTCTATCCTCTCAATAAATCCTGCTTTCTAAAAATAAAAAATAAACCAGGACTATCACAGATTAAGAGAAAAAGCAAGTTTTCATGGTTCACAGTTCACACCTCAGTATTTTGGGTGTGCATTACTTTTGTAATTAAGAAAAGCCTCAGTAAAGAAAATAGGCCTGACAAATGCTTGAGGGCCCATCCTGAGCTTGGGAATTTGAGACAAGTTTGAGGGAGGGGCCAGCCTCCCGGCACCCTTGGGTGCAGCCGTGCTCAGGGTGACACCAGGCCTCTGAGCAGCTGTCCCACCCAGAAGGCAGCAGGAGTTCTCAGTCTTTCCCCCTTGATTTAGAGGAGAGAAAACTAGAACAGAGGGAACAGAAAGGGAGGGTCTGGGGCATCTAGAGTCACACCATGCTTCCTGGACCTCCGGAAGCTGAAATGTGGGGGTGGAAGCCAGGACCGCTGTCATCTGCTGGTGGCACCCCCATCACAATGTGCCCACCCCACAACCCTCAGACCACACAGGAGGGAGCAGACAAACCAGCTACCCTACCTCCGTGCTGTGCTTCAGCAAGTTCTCAAAAGATGGCCAGTATTCCTGCAGGAGGATCTGCTTCAGCTTCCGGGGCAGCATCTCCCCTGGCTCCCGGGAGCCCTAAACAGGGAGGGGGATTAAAAGCAGGTCAGCAAGGCACCCTAGCTGGAACTCAGGCCTTCCTGGAGCCCATCTTCACTGGCCCCCTGCCCAGCATGGGCAGCGGCCAAGCCCTGCAGCAAAGGCAGTCCAACAACTGGCGGCCAGAGTAGGCTGTTTTGGGCTGGGTGACACTGCCCAGACCTGCTGTCCATGTCAGCATCTGAGACCTGTCAAGCCTGCACGGGTGTATCAAGCCAAAGGTTCCACCTTTGGGGAGCAGGGATAGCCCCTGATACTGAGCACCAGCTTTGCCCACAGGCTGTCCATAAGGTAATACCCTCAAGCTGTACATAAGGTGACAAGTGCTTCTCCCACCGCCAGTTCTCCCAAATCCAGCAGGCTGCATGCTTGTTGGTTTGCATTCCCATCCCTCCCAGTCCCAGTTGCTGGCCTGGGCTGCTGCTATCTAGGCTCTCAGTGACACCCAAGTGACACCTGCCTTGTAGACATGGATTCTGCACCCATACCTCCTCCTCTTGCAACCATCTTTCCACCCCGTTTATCATTCAAAGTTCCACTGAGATACTCATGGGTTTCCCCAGAAACCTCCATAGACCTCACATTTCTCCCACCTCAGCCCCTAGTGACACCCTCCTCCATCTGGTTAGTGCACACTCTGCAGAGGAGGACCCTGTGAGGCTCCTCTGAACCCTCAGTCACCAGCCAGAGTGGAGAGGGACACCACTCAGTCAGACCACATAGGGCTCAACTGAGCACATCCCACCTAAACCAAAGTGCCCAAGAGCGGAGGGTGAACTGTGCCCAAGGGCCAGATGTGTGATGGCAGGGAAGCTGCTGGTGAGGGAGCTGGGTATCAAGACCCTGAGGTCAAAGTCTCCCTCCACGGAAGGAGAAGGGGGTCGTGGCTGCAGGGCAGAACCACCCAAAGCTCTGGGACACAATAGCTGGGCCTGGTTGAAGTCCACATTCTGGCCTGAAGACCCTCATGGCACTGCTGCCTGTGCACACCACTGGGGACTCCAGGGGGTTGGGGCAGAAAAACAGCTTCTTGCTGAGGCATGGTAAATCACAGACTCCCCAGGACAGGATTGCACCCCAGATGCCACATGCTGTGGCTGGTGACTGACTGGGCTCTATCCTCCTAGCAGGATGAGCCTCTTCCAACCCCTGCATTAAGGAGGGACCAGAGGACTGCAGAGGATGGGCTGATCTGGGAGAAAATACTGGCTGTTTAGAGCCACTGGAACAGGGAAGACCTGGGCCATTTGCATCCTGATTCTGTCATCTGTCACCACAAAGCCTCTGGAGTGTACTCCCGACTCAGCCCCTATGAACACACCCCCACCCCATCACAGACAATGCCATCCCCTCTTTAGGGCTCACTCAGGACCCCGACTGTGAGGGGCAAGTCCGTGCCTGAGACACCTGTGAGGAGACATCTCTGACCCCGACTCCCTGAGTTCTGCCAGGAGACCCTGGTCAGCCTCTGAGAGAGCCCCACTCCTGAGCCCCAGGCCTGGGACACCGTAGGTGCTCAATGAGTGTTTACACACTGAAGAGAATTTGAGCCTCAGTTTCCACAACTATAAAATAGGAAACAGGAGGGAGAACATCTAAAAAGCGCGAATGCTGTCCAGAATCAGAGTAGCTTCTGGAACTGCAGATGGCTGACGTGCAGTCCACGGGTGAGATGACAAATGGACAAAGGACCCACGGACAGTCGAGCAGATGACTGGGTCCCTGCTGGCCGCAGTGCTTACCCCTGGCAAGGCCCAGTGTTCCGAGAGGGGACGCTTGAGCACCAGCACCTCCAGCATCTTCTTGATACTCTTCCTGCAGATGGCACCATCCTGATTCCGCCTCCACCTGCAGAAAGGAACCAGCTTGCAGCTCCATGGAAGCCCTAGTGCCAACTCCACCCTCCCTGGTGCTGAGCTGTGGTCCCAGGCTAGCCCTACCTGGGATGGAGGCAAGGTAGGGTGAAGGCTGAGGTGGGGTGGCGTCAGGCCACGCTCAGACTAAGTTCCTAATCCCCGGGGGGAAAGCTGAGATAATGACACTTAGGGAACATCCTTCCCTACCTCCATAAAGTGCTGGCAGGACTAGAGAGAGCCCCAGTCTTTGTGGAGAATTTTATTTTGATCAAAACCCTTAAAGAGGCACTTGCTCTTCGACCCAGCTTTGAGTTCTGCCATTCTGGAAGTGCAGATTGTGAGTCCTGCACAGTGGCCCCAGTGCCAAATGCAGCCTGTGCAGGGGAGAGTCCTCACAGCTTCCTCAAGGACTAAACAGGCCTGCCCGGCACTGAAGGCAGCTGTGACTACAGGTGGAATAGTTGCCAGTAGTGGGAGGGTCACCAGCTGTAGAGGTGTCAATGTGGATGAGCATCCATGTGGGCATGTGTCTACCTGCCCCCCAAGGGCTCTAACCCAGATGACTTGCAGGGAAAGGAAGACAGCATGGGGGGTGGGGGGGGAGAAAGGAGGGTCATGGAATAGGTGTGCCACATTTATCCGCAGACCTCTCACCACACCCTGCATTGGGGCCAAGTACCAAGCCTCGATGCTGTCCTTCCAGCTGTGTCATCACACGGGTGGTGGCAGAAACCCCTGGTGTGGGTATGAGCAACTGTCCCTAATGTGCTGATGCCTAGTGGGTGTGGACTCACCTGGTGACCACAGGGTGCAGTGCGTGGTTGGGTCCAAAGCAGCTGAGACTCCCACGCCCACGCAGTCCCGTGCGGCCCATGGGGTTCCTGGGGTGCAGGGGAGTTCACACAGTCCAACCCGTCATCGCTGGGAGGACAGGAGAGGCACTTCCCCTCTCCCTCCCTCTTCCTCTTCCTCACCTCCCCCAAGCCTGGCCACCCGCCCTTGCCCTCCCCCTTCATCCCTCTTGCCTCCCCTGGGCCCAGTCACCCACTCATTTCCAGTGGCCCCTGCCTCAACCCTATGTGTCCTCCCCACCTCTCCCAGTCCCCAGACCTGCAGCTGAAGCCACATGCGCTCAGCCCACCAGCCTGGTACCAGCACTCCTCCAGCATGAATCTGGCAAAAATCCACCCCATTCCAGCTTCCCCATAGCTGGGTGCCCACACCTCTTCTCCAGCCCTCCTCACTTCCTGGCTACTGGCACAGCAGGGGCCCTCTGAAGGCAACCACCCAGGAGAGGATGCCAGCACAACCACTCTCCCGAGCTCCAGGTTAGGTCACCACCATTCCTGTCTCCTCACGATCTCACACAACTTTCAACTCCTCAGGTCAACTCAACATCAGGATGCCCTTACTGGCAGGACGCCCTAGCCCCCTGGGGCACCCTCACTTCCCAAGATGCCCTCACCTCAGAGGGTCGGCTGCAGCTTCCAGCTCTGTGCCTCTCAGGTCCATGCCCTGCTCTCCTCCCTGACCTCCCACCACCAGTAGGTCCTGTCAGTTCCACTTTCTAGGGTCCCAGAACTGGGCACACCTGAGTCACTGTAGTCATGTGCGGCTGCCCTGGGAAGAGACAATCCCTGCAGCTCCTGCTGTCATTGGCCCTGCACCACTCTGCCTTCCCCCTGCCTTGTGTGGCGGCCCTGACTTGGCCTTCCTGCATCCACTCCATCCACTTCCCTCTGTTTGCAACCCAGTAGCCACCCTACTTGTTTAAGGGGTCTGTGCTGACAGAAGCAAGTCAAAAGGGCAGGAGGACTGAAATGCAAGAGGAGCAGAAAATTCCCAGGGTGGAGTCCTTGAGAGGCCATGGAAGATGGATCCAGTGTGCAGGGGCACTGGGGTGAACAGGGCCCCAAATTAATGTCCTTCCCAGAACCTCAGCATGTGGTCTTATTTGGAAAGCGTCCTTGTAGGTGTAATTAGTTATGATGAGGCCATGCTGGAATAGACTTGTCCCTAATCCAATATTTTATAATCCTCATAAGAAGAGAAAAAGAGGCAGGGGAGATCCTCCCTTAGAGCCTTTAAAGAGAGCTCAGTCCTGCCAACACCTCCAGTTTGAACTCCTGGCCTCCAGAACTGTGTAGAATTGACTCCAATAGTGTAGGAAACATAACAATGGAAGAGCTTATCCCAGAAATGCAAGGATGGTGCAATACTGAAGAAGCTATAAAACAAATTCACACACTAGTTGAGAGAACAGTAAACATAACACATGATTATCTCAACTGATGACAGAAAAACCATTTAATGGCATTCAGCAAGATAAAAACTAGAAGGAAACAGTACTAATCTGATAAAAGGTATTTATAAAGTTTCTTCAGCAAATACTACCATACTTAGTGATAAAATGTTGAAAGCATTCCCATTAAGTCAGCAACAAGTCGAGTTAGTATGACCAGTAGTCTATAACACACTGAAGAGTTTACTCCACACAATGAGGCAAGAAAAAGGGATGAGGAACAGAAATTGTCAGGAGAAAGACAATATTGTTATTTGCAGAATATATTATCATTTACATGGACAATCTACAAGCAAATTAATGTAACTAATGAGAAAGTTTAGCAAAGTTGCTAGATACAAAGTCAGCAAGCATATTTCCTGTACATTTACAAAAACCAATTTGAAAATATAATAGAAAAAGAGTGCCATTCCCAAAAGTAACAAAATTTATCACGTATCTAGGAGTAAATATTTTTTAAAAGTGTAAGTTCTTCTTTAAATCCTTTTTTCTATTCATCCTTTCCCAATACCAGCAGAAAGGCAGAAAAAAAGTGTAAGTTTCTTACAAAGAAAAGTGTCAAACTTCAGGGAAGGACAAATAGAAGAATGAACAAATGTTAACTAATGTATTCATAGAAGATTTAATGTTGTAAAAGTGTCAGTTGTCCCAAACTTTTCTATAAATTCAACAGAATTTCTATCAGTATTCCAACAGGATTTGTCATGGAACTAGACAAAATGAACTAAACGCTCAAGATAGGAAAAGTGGGTTTAAAGATATGCACAGGCCTGAGTCAGGACTTACTGCAGAGTTGTGGCAAATAAAGTGGCCATGATCTTCTATAGAGATGGGATAGATAGACCCAAAGTTCTGTGCCTGACATAGGGCAGTACAGTCAAGGACTTGGCTTAGAAGAGGAACCACATCTCAAGGAAAGAGTCAGATATCAGGGGAGGAGCCAGATGTCAGGGGAGGAGCCACGTCTCAGGGGAGGAGCCACATCTCAGAGGAGGAGCACATCTCAGGAGAGGAGTCATGAGCCAGGGGGAAAGCCACATCTCAGGGGAGGAGCCAGATGTCATGGGAGGAGCCACGACTCAAGGAAGGATCTGTGAGTCAGGGGAAGAGCCACATCTCAGGGGCAGAGCCATGAGTCAGAGTGGGAGCCACATCTCAGGTGAGGAATCATGATTCAGAGGGAAATGATCTGGGGACAGCTCACTTTGTGGATTCAAAAAATAAAATCATAGCCCTTCTCACACCTTACACAAGCAGCCTCCAGCTGTATTGAAGACTCAAATGAAAAAAACTAATTTTGAAACATATTAGAAGAAATGGGAAGGTGTGTATGACTTCATGGAGAAAAAATATACCTAAGAAAATATAATAAAAATGCAACTCACAAGTAAGCAACATGAGCAGGATGCCTATATAAGTATTCTTTTCTGCTCTGTTAAAGTCCATGGGGCCACCAAGCCCTACAAGTCCTCCCTGACCTGCCTGCCTATGTGGCATGACATCAGTGAGCCAGTTGAGTATACCTCATCCCTCCATGCCAGGTGCCTACTGCTCTTATCCTTCAGCAATAGCCAGATGTGTCTCCCTAACTACTACTCACCTGTCCCTGCATGGCGACCAGAGAAGGATCCTAGGGCTGCAGCCACCTAATCATGGTCTGTTTCCAGGCCCCATCTGACTCCTGACTCAGCCTCTGGCTGCAGGCAGAGAAGCCCACTCCCTGTTCCAGAACATTGCACAAGAGGTCCGCCACCCCCTTTTAGACCCCTCAGCTCCCCTGATCCACAATGTTCAATGCCCTTGATGCTACCCATCCTGCAACACATTCTCCTGGAGTCTGACTGCCCCTCCCGCCGACCCCTCCTCACCTTCCTCACCCGCGACTTTGGCACTCAGCAGGTGTTCACAGGTCACCCGACACCTCCATGTTGGCTTTCCTCACCTGCACTGTCAGGCCAAGTGCAGATCCTAGAGGCCTTCCCTTCCAGGGCGCCTGCCAGTCACCCTGTCCCCATGATGCCCTCCTCGTGTCAGGGTGCCTGCCCATCACCCATCAGCACTCTCATAGGATAAGCTGTTCCCATTTGCTGCAGACGTATCCAAGTCCCCAAAGGTTCCAGCAGGGACTGTGGGACAGGGCACACCTAGGGGCCCAGCTGGAAAAGCCCAGGCCTCTTGTGCACTGTCCTGAGTGCCAAGCAAGTGCTGTGAGTTGATGTTTTCTTTCATTGTTGCCTCCTTTACCAAGAAGAAAACCTGCCTCCCTCCCACCCCTAGCTAACCCCAAGGCAGGTTGATGGGGACAGGTGGACAGGGTACACTCACAGGGGCAGCCCATCCTGGACCACGTAGAGCCCGTGGGAGCTCTGGCGATCTGTCAAGCCATCCAGGGTGTTGTAGCAGATCTTGGACAGTGAGTCTGGATTACTGCAAGCAAACAAGAAGGATGTGCTTGTGAGGGATACAGGAGGCCCAGCTGAGAGGCCCACATGATCAGCAGCGGCCCCCCAGTAACCTGGCTGAGTGACTACAGACTGCACCCACACCACAGGAGGAGCTGGGCTTGGCACCTCCACAGGATTCTCCCATTCACTCAGACCCTCAGAGTGGGGATCTCAGCAGACCCCTGGGAGGACCTGGGTCTGGGAAAGGCCTGGAGGGGACAAGGGGTGGCTCACACTCACTCTCCCACAGGGTCCATGGCAGCCATGTCCTTCCTCTCAGCCGTGTAGAAGAGAGGATCATAGATGATAAACTCTGCCTATAGGAAAATGAGAGGCTTCCCTCAGCATCTTATCCCCAGTGCAAAGCCGGGCCCAGGCACCAGGGCAAGAGGGTGGCACCAGAACTGAAGTTAACCCTGGTGCAGGCGCAGAGCTCTGAACAGGGCAGAGCCAGAAGGGACAGGAACCTTCACCCCAGAATCAGCCAAGGAGCAGGTGGCCAGGGCTGGGGGCCTCAGAGGGTCTTCCCAAGATGGGGCAGGGGGCTGAGCTGAACCCTAGAAGTGGATGGATCCCACATGGCAGAGAGAGAGGTGAAGGCAATGGAGGCAGCAGTCCAGAATGTTCAGGAAGGGCCAGAGAAATCCTGCAGGAGGAGGGCGGGGGGGCCCTCCCCTCCCAGTGCCATTGTCTATCCTTCTGTGTCTTTGTGCATGTCTCTGACTCTTCCATGGTCAGCACTCAGAAGCAGGCAGTGCCATTTACTGAGGTCAGTGGGGTCTAGGACAAGGGGGTGACATGGGGGTGATGGGGCCAGGCAGACGACAGGCTGCAGAGCAACCTTGGGGCTTGAGCTCTGTGTGGGTCAGCACGCCCCCAGCCCCCTTCACCACCTCAAGCTGTGTGGCTCATGTGACTTGACCTGTGTGTGTGTCAGTTTCCTCATCTGTCACACAAGGCCACCAGACATTCAGATCCCCGTGGGGCTGCAGCACTGAGAGCCAGGATTAACACTGCAGGTGTTGGGAACAGGACCTCCATTCCCCTTCCCCAGGGACCACCACCTCCCTCCTGGCTATGGTGCGCTGGATGGGACAGACACTTACCTCCCAGGGCACCTTCTCGTTGGGCACAGGGAAGCGCATGACAGGGCAGTTGGGGTACAGAAGGTGCCGGGCGTTCACGTGATAGCAGTCACCCAGCTCCTCCACCTTCTTCCTTATGCCAGGCTCCACATCTTGCTTCTCTGGGGCCTCCTGGGAAGCTGTGGACCGTCAGGGAGTGGTGACACAGAGTCGGGCCCGGGCTCAAGCCCTGGCTCGCAGGACAGAAGCTTCTTCTTGGTCTTTTCCCTAAATCATCGGGGCTGCCTCCACCTCCTGGAGCCCAAATGGCCATGCAGGTTGAACACCAGCCCTACAGTGTGAGCCCCCTTCTTCAGGGGCCCTGGCCTTAGGAGGGCAGCCACCTGGGGTCAGGGCAGCATCCCCTGCTGGCACCTGCCTCTGTGCAGTTACAATCAGAGATTGCAGTAATGAGCAGAACTCAGGCTGCGATAAAACCAGTCAAACTAATAAGGGCAAGTTTGCTCTTTGTGGGCCAGTGACCTCTGAGGAAGGTCGCTTATGTCCATTTCTTGGCCAGTTTAGGAAAACAGACTTTGCCCTCCATCCGTCCGTCCACATGACCGAGAACAGACACCCTGGCAGCTGTCCAACCCTCACCTCTGGCTTTGCATCATGATGGGCAGGAGACAACCAGGGGACAGCGGGCCAGGCCTCTGGGAACCTGGTCAAGTCAGGTGGACAGGCTAAGGTCCCGAGGGCAATGGCCCTGCCGGGCTTGGGGACAAACCCCAGCCAATGCCTTCCTCCAGGCCTGGAAGAGCCCCTCTCCTCCCAACAGATCCCAGATTCAAAAGAACACAAGCCAGTAGAGACCAGCTGCTGGCATGGTCACTCACTCACCCATAGAGGGAATGCCTGCCTCAGAGCCAAAGCCACTGTCCCGCAGGGTCCTCACAATCCAATGCAGAGCTCTAGTCGTCTGGGTCACCTGGAAGGCAGGTTCCAAGTGACACAGTCAGCACCTGATGCAACACACGCACACATCCCTCTGCTCACTGCCTGTCCTGACAGCCGGCATCCTGGCCCCAGGTCCTTACTCCCCAGGCAATCCTACCCCAGCTGGACCCCTGTCCTCCCCTCCCCCCCAATTCTGTGCCATTTGAAGTGAACAACAAGCCCAGGCGCGGTGGCTCATGCCTATAATCCCAGCACTTTGGGAGGCTGAGGTGAGAGGATTACCTGAGCCCACGGGTTCGAGACCAGCCTGGGCAACTTGGCAAGACCTCATTTCTACATAAATCAAAAAATTAGCTGGGCATGGTGGTACACGCCTGTAGTTCCAGCTACTTGGAAGGCTGAAGTGGAAGGATTGCCTGAATCCAGCAGGTTGAGGCTGCGGTGGCCTTGAGCATGCCACTGCACTCCAGCTTGGGTGACAGATCCCGACTCAAAAAAAAAAAGGTGAAAAACAAGCCTGCTCTCTGGGCAGCCCCCAAATCAGCCAGGATGCTGCCCCGGGCCCACCCTGCTGGCCTCAGGGGCTGCTGAGTGTCCGACAGCATAGCCTGTCCAAGAGACACAGTGGTCACTGGGAATAGACACAGCAGAGGCGATGGAACCAATGTGAAGCCACAGGAAGGCAAGTCTGTACTGCAGGGAGAGGGCAGCAAGCCTGCAGGAACTTCTGTGGTCTTGCACCTCCTGGAGGGAACTTCTTCGAGGCCTGACATGCTCAGCCAGAGGACAGCAGGGACATAGTGACTAATACAGCCTAGAAAAGGTAGCTTGGCATGGTTATACCTCTATCAGAGGTTAGCAAGGCAGGGACTTGAGGGAAGAAGGAGCTTGGGCAGGGGATTCCCCCTACTCCCTCCCAGTGCAATGGGTGGGACTGACAGATGGTTTATGTCCCCCAGCACGGGGCCTGACCCTGCCACACAACAAGGCTGGAAGCAGCAGCAGCACTGGGGGGCAGGTCCAAGCAGGGCTCATACTGGTCACCTGGGGCTGCCATGGGCAGCAGGGCAGGGGCTCTTGTTAGGAAGCACAGGACCCAGGACTGGTGGTGGACCCTGAGGGAAGGGGGCATAGGCTGAAGGGTGCTCAAAGGCAAGTGGACCAATGGATGGGCAGACTCTGCCCCCTTTATGCTAAAGACAAGGACACATCTGGGAGTCTGCTGACACGTGTCCATGGCACCAAGAAGCTGTGAGCCCTGCAAAGCTGCCCTTCTGAGCCCTGTCCCCAGCCCTGAACAAGGATAAGGGCCCATACTCAGCAATGGCACCCAGGCCTCCACCACCCCACCACCCCCTAACCTCCTGCTCCAGCACTGCCTGGTCAGTGAGACTCTGGGACAGCCTCCCTCTCACCCCCACCAGGAACCATCCCTCTGCTCACTCCTTCTTCCCTCCTAGTCTAGCACCTCCCTAGAGCTCACTCCTGGAACATGTGTGGAGAAAACACCAAGTGCAGTGGTGAACAGTGTCCCCAAAATATTCATGTCCACCCAGAGTCACAGAACATGACTTTACTTGGGTGTAAGTTCTTTGCATGCTACCAGGGTGGGCCCTAATCCAAAGACTGCTGTCCCATGAGGAGAGGAGAGAATGCACGGATGTGCACCAGGGAAGGCAGCCATGGGATGATGAGGCAGAGACTGGAATAATGTGGCTATAAGTCAAGGGATGCTTGGCCATCAGATGCTGGAAGTGGCAGGAAGGACTCTCCCTAGAGCCTTCAGAGGGATGGTGGCCCTGCTCACACCTTGACTCTGGACTTCTGGCCTCCAGAGTTGTGAGAATGACTTGCTGTTGTTTAAGCCCCACCGTCTGTGGTCATCTATTATGGCAGCCTCAGGACACACACTCACCCAGCAAGGCCAGGTGGGGAGCTGGCTTGGCCTCCTCACCCTATAATGGGTCCCACTCTTCTCTGGGCCCCTAGGCAGCTTCCTCCACATGGCCTCTTATAAATATCAAGGCCCCTGAATATGAAGTTTTGAGCCCATGACCCCACATTCCAACCATCTGACCACGTGTTCCTTACTGAAATTGTTTCCAAGCCCATTCCCCTTTGTGAAAGTTCAAAAGCTCCTCTCCCTAGTCCCCTGTGGCTCCCTGCTCTCCTCCCTAGTTCAGCAGCTGCATTCTCAGAAAGACATAAGGGCCATTTTCAAGTCTTCCCTGCCTCGGTACCACCCCCTCTCCTAGGTCTAAGCACAGAGTCCCCCAGCCTCCTGGGAGACCGGGAAGAGGGATCAAGCAGCTTGTTTCTGCAGACTAGACAGGGGCACAAGCAAGTTTGTGGGACTCAACTGCAGTAATACGTGAGTGGGATTTTCCAGAAGACGTAAAGGCGCCTCTCACACTTGGGAAGGACCTTCCTACATTCCCCACCTCCTCCTCCATGTTGTTACCCCAGAGCACTTATTCTTGATGCTGCATATTGCAGAGCGACCAGCCCCCCCACCCCAGGCCAACGAGAAACCCCTGCAAACACAGGCCCCGACTTCACACCCACCTGCTCCTCCAAGGAGGCCAACCTCTGCTCCATGGAGCCTGACCTCTTCAGCCGGTCCAAATCGAGCAGGTCCACCATGGTGTCCACCCTGAAAGAGGACAAAGCTGAGCCTGACATGGGCCAGACCTTGGCCCCTGGGACACTGAAGGAACATGATGCTGCTCTGCAGATGGCCCTGGCAGACCCGGCCACTCAGGAGTTGCGTCACCCTTCATTTCAGTCATCTTTATCATAACTTGAAACTGTTTCTATTATACATTTCTACTATAGAATGAAATGTCTAGTGCACCAGAGAGGAAGATGTCTTAGCAGATAGAAGCCCAGACTTACCCAATGGGCCCAAACAATTCTCCTCCCTCAGCCTCCCAAGTAGCTGGGACTATAGACACATGCTACTATGCCCAGCTAATTTTAAAAAAAAATTGTGGAGATGAATCTTGCTTTGTTGCCCAGGCTGGTCTTAAACTCCTGGCCTCAGCTCTGACAGCCTGTCCAAAGAGAGATGCTAGCGAGTGAAATGCTCATGCACTGGAGCCTGCTCACCTTGACTCGCCAGCATGCTGTTGGGTCGCACTCTGAAACCCAAGTCACCAAGAGTAGAGCTGCTTCTGACTGCAGTAGGGGCTGGTCTGGGCAGAGGTGGAGCAGTGTTGTTGTTTTAGGAAAGTTTGGTTTCTGCCTTATTTTGCTACAACACAGGAACTTCACCCAGCTTTGGCCTGCTGTGTTTACAGTTAAAATAATTCCAGGGCCAATCACAAATGGACAGCCTCTGTCTGTTTTTGCCCTGGATCCCCCACTTCCTCTCACCTAAAGTGCCAGCTGCAAGTGACATTCTTATATAATAAAGTGTGCAACTGGCCGGGTGTGGCGACTCACACCTATAATCCCAGCAATTTAGGAGGCCAACGCAGGCAGATTGCTTGAGTCCCGAAGCTTGAGACTGGAATGGGCAACATTGTGAGATCTAGTCTCTACAACAAATCAAAAAATTAGCCAGAGGAGGCTGAGGTGGAAGAATTGCCTGAGCCAAAATGTCGAGGCTGAGGTGAGCTGTGATCATGCCACTGCACTCCAGCCTGGACAAGAGAGTGAGACTCCAACTCAAATAAACAGACAAAGAAAAACTGAAACTATTTTAGCAAATGTCACTGGGGACAGGACCCATTTTAAAGAGTTATCTAGGGAATCTTCACCAAGGGTCTGGGCGTCTACTTTTGCCCACACTACCTGTTGCTTGATCCCACAAATGCTACTTAACTCTGCCCCTGACTTCTTTTCCCAGACAGCCTTGCAAATACATGAGGGTGGTTACTGGAGCATCTGTGAACCTGCGTGATTCAGTCACTGTGAGATGTAGGAACCGTCTGGATCTACAGACGGAGCTTGTCAGGGACCCCAAACCTCCAGTCCTGCACTGTGTGCAGGAACTGGGGTCAGTTCAGCCCAGCCTCAGTGCTGTGAGGTCATGGCACACCACACGCCATGGCACCTTCCTGGGCCTCAGCATCCTCACCAGACTCATGAAGAGAAGGTGATCAGGCCAGGGGGCCTTGGTCAGGGCCAATGAGTTCTTTCATTCTTTTCCCTGGTGCCCTATGTTTTACAAGACTCTGTCTGTCAAAGCACCACTGTTGTTAAAAATCCATATGCATGCAAACCAGTGTGAGTGATCTCTCAGCACACAGTCACCATTTCAGCTGAAACATGTTCTGTAGGCCCATCTTAGGAACATGTAGATATAGTTTAGACATTAATATGAATATGGATAAAGATATATATAGACAGATATAGATATAAATATAGATATGTATGTGTGTGTATGTATATATGTGTGTGTGTGTGTGTGTGTGTGTGTGTGTGTGTGTGTGTGTGTGTACAGCGAGAGAGAGAGAGAAAGCGGGGCAGGGGACAGAGAGAGAGAAAGAGAGCGAGAGAGAGAGGAGAGAGATTGATTGATTTAGAGACAGGGTCTCATTCTGTCCCCAGGCTGGAGTATTGGAGTGCAGTGGTGCAATCATGGCTCACTGCAGTCTCCAACTCCTGGGCTCAAGAGTGATCCTCACACCTCAGCACCTCCTGAGTTGCTGAGACTACATATGCATGCCACCACACCCAGCTATTTTTTTTTTGAGAGATAGCATTCTGGTCATGTTGTCCAGGCTAGTCTTAAACCCCTTGCCTCAAGTGATCCTCCTAAATTAGCCTCCCAAAGCATTGGGATTACAGGCGTGAGCCACCACACCTGACCTGACTATTTCTATTTCAATTAAGCTTTTTATAACCTCAGGAAATAACTGGAGGAGCACAACTTCCCCTGAGTACCCAGGTGGGAAATCAGGCATGATGTAGTCATCGTCTTCTAGCCTTGAGTATACTAACCACCAGCATTCCTGCAGCCTTCCAGCTTGAGGGCTCCCTGAGGCCAACTCTGAGGCTCCTGTTTTAAGCTTTAGGATGTCTGGAACGAGGCAGGGAGCTGAGCTGGCATTTGGACCCAGCCAACTTCCCTCAGACAGGATGCTGCAAAGTTGCTGGGGCCTGCATTCAAATCCAGACTATGTTGTTCACCAGCAATGAACACTGGCTACCAAGCTCTCTAACTTTCCTGGGCCTCTGTTACTTCACTGGTAAATGTGGAATAAACCCTTCCCTCTACAGAAGGACAGGATGAGATGACGCAAGTGAAGAGCTTGACCCACAGGGAGCCCTCAACACACCACAGTTGCTGTATTCTTGCCCTGACTGTTGACCATCAGCGGCTTCAGGGCCCTGTGTGAGGACTCCTGACATGCTGAGACCCTTTCAGAAACACTCCCGACTGGGCTCGGTGGCTCAACCTGTAATCCTGCACCTTGAGAGGCTGAGGTGAGTGGATTGCCTGAACCCGCGGGTTCGAGTCCCGCCTGGGCAACTTGGCGAGACCTCATCTCCACAACAAATCAAAAATTAGCCGGGCGTGGTAGCGCGCGCCTGTAGTTCCAGCTACTTGGAAGCTGAGGTGGAAGGATCGCCGGAGCCCAGCAGGCGAGGCTGCGGTGGCCGGGAGCGGTCACTGCACTGCAGTCTGGCGACTGAGTGAGGCTCCAACTCAAAAAAAAGAAAGAAACACTCCCAAGTCCTCTCCCCCAGCATCTGGGGCCTGAGTCACCAGACAAGACCTGAGCCGGTAAGAGAAGGTGCTCGGGGCACCACATGGGCCCCAGGCACTTCCTCTTTACTAGATGATCAACGTAGAATGTCAGAGCTGAGACACCAACCCCAGGTTCCTGCAATTCTGGCTACCAGGGACCAGCAGCAGCTCCAGAATTGCATGGGATTTGCTGAGTGTCACCTAGTACTGGACTTGCTCTAGGCCCCAGGATACTATAGGGAGCATGTGGAACTCTGTCCCTGCCCACAATGAACCTGGCAGGTGGACATTAACCCAACCCACCAACCAATCCACAAACCCATCAGTCAACCAAACAACATTCAGAATTTTTGAGACAGGGTATGGGGACAGAGTGGGTGGAGGACAGTGGAAGGCCTCCAGTGACACCTGAGTGAAGTGAAACAGCAAGACCTGCCTCTCTGTGAAAGAAGATTGTTCTAAGCAAAGGGCATGCCAAGGGCTCAACTGGACGTCATTGTGCCCAAACTCAAGCAAATAAGGCATCTAGCATGGGAGAGAAAGTGTTTTGATCATTGCTAGCTCATCGAGGTTCTCTCCATTGTCACCATCATCACTATCATTGTCATCAAAATCACCATCACCATAATTATCACCACTATCATTACTATCAACATCACCACTATCACCAACATTACCATCATCACCACCATGACTACCAACACCACTATCAACACCCACCCCATTACCACCATGATCACCATCATTGCCATCACCATCATCACCACCATCATTACTATCATCATCATCACCATCACCACCATAAGCATCATCATCATCAGCATCACCACCATTACCACCAAAATCACCACCACTACCACCATCATTACCATCATCATCACCACCACCACCATCACCATCCTCACCACCATCATTATCATCATCATTGCCATCATCATCATCATCTTCACCACCATCACCACCACCATCATCACCACCACCACCACCACCACCATCACCATCATCATCACCACCACAATCATGACCATCCTCACCACCATCACCACCACCACCACCATCACTATCACCATCAACATTACCACCATCATCAGCAGCAGCATCACCATCACTATCATCACTGCCATCACTACCACCATCGTCATTACCACCATCATAACCACCGTCACCACCATTACCACTATCATTACCATCATCATCGCCATCACCACCATCAGCATCACCATCATCACCACCATCACCACCATCATTATCACCATGGTCACCATCATCATCAGCCTCAGCATCATCAACATCACCATCCCCATCATCATCTTCAGCATTATCAGCATCACCACCATCACCATCACCATCACCACCATCATTGCCATCATCATCATCACCACCATCACTACCACCTACCACCATCATCATCATGACCACCATCACCACTATTATCACCATCACCATCACTCATATGTAAGATTGAGGATATAGTGATACCGGCAACAACCCATGCTAGCAAAGCACTGGTCATGGTTCAAGCATGACGTGCTCAGTGCTTTACAGGCCTGAGCCTACTGCATTCTGAGACAACTCTAGGGAATGGGTACCACCAAGGTCTCCATCTTGGAGATGAGGCGTGGGAGGCACGGAAAGGCAGAAGCACATCTCTAAGGAGGGGGTACTCAGCCTAGTCTGCCTGGAGCCACACTCTTGGCCACATCCTGGCAGCTCTAGAACGCCCCTCTTCATGCCTGCAGGAACCTCTGCACTGCTATAACTAGGTGACATCATGTCCCCTTCCTCCTCCTCCCCTCATTAGTTGAGGAGCTGGGGTCAGATGGGGGCAGGGCCTGGCCACAGTGTGACACACCTAACAGCAGACCCTAAGGCCAGGTTCTTCCTGTCGCCTGCTGTCAGGCCCCGTTGGCGCCCATGAGGGCCAGAGCCAGGAGGGTAGAGAGAAAGGAGCAGAAAGATCTTTACCCAACACTAACCTTGCACCCTAGAAAGAAGCACAGTGGGAGGAGTTGAGAGGGGGACAGTACTCAGTGTGGCTGAGCTCTGGGGCTGGGCTACTGAGGCCCTGCAGAAGCTACTGCAAGACTGTGAGCCAGCAGGTTCACAGGGCAAACTGTCCAAAAACAATCCTGATTACCAATGTGCACATCCTCCCAGTCCTCCAAGTTGAACTCTTACAGGCCCACCTATCACTCCTCCAGCCCACCAAGGCTTTCCAGCCCAGTCTCTGACCCCTTACCCCTTAGGCCCAGCCTTCCTTAGGACCCCAGAGGACCCTGGCTCAGCTGCTGGGTGCAGGCCCAGGTGCCCATGGAATTGTTGGGGACCACAGGGTATAGAGTGTCCCTTCCCAGATGACGTGTCACCTCCAGACAGGATACATAATGATGCTGCCTGTGTGGCAGTGCAGGGGGAGGCTGCCCAAAGGTCCCCATACTTATTGCTGATGTCCTCAATCTTCTGCTCCGGTCTCTGCTTTTGCTGGTACTGCTGGTTCTGCAGGTAATTCTCCTTGAGGTAGATCTCCCAGGACAACAGGGCTGCCTCCTCGTTCTTCTCAAGCTTGTTCTCTGTCGGGGTGAGGGGACCCAAAATCTTCATAAGGAGGACCCCTAGGACCCTGACGCACCCAGGGGCCCTGCCCTGAGAGGCCTGCTAGGCTCAGTCCCTGGCACCCACTCAAGGCCAGCAGAAGACCAGTGGTCTGAGTGGCTCACGTGCCTGCTGAGCATCCAGGGCTCTAGAAAGAGCTGCCACACCCACTCCCAGGTCCCCTCTCCCCCTGAGACAGCCGGGAGCACATTCTGGGCCACAGGAGAGAGGGGCATACTGAGTTGCTTGTGTCGCTTGGCAGGGATCTTCAGGACCACCCTCTTGACGAAGAGCTGCAGGTGGCTGAGCAGGATGAAGGGGGGCGGTGCAGGGGGGCGGCCGTGGTACTCCTCGATCAGGTCATGGCGCTGGAACTTCCAAATCTGGTCCGTGTGTTCCTGGACCTGCTGGAAGGTGTAGCTGTTGGGGAGGAGAGGGATGCCACACAATCAGTGAGAATGCCAGAAGCAGACTCCAATCAGTGCCTGCCAACCCAATAGATGCCAGAGGAGAGAGGCGCCACGGTGCAGGGAGACCAGGCCCAGCACAGAACATGCCCGGTAAGCCTTAGAGTCCCAATGTTCCTGGAGGCCAAGGTGAGAAAAAAAGAAGCAGCACGTGGATTTTAGATTTTATAAACCTCACTAACAACATGAAGTGGACATTTATTGGGTGGCAGATACTGTCTGGCATTGAGCTCTACAGGTTTATTTGCTGATTCCAATAGGCACAAGGATGGTGCCCCATGGCAAACACTGAGTGTGAAGGACTACAGAGCATGCTCACGGCGAGTCTTGTGTAGAGGCAGAGAAAGGCATCTGGATCAGCAGGAGGCAGCCATGCAGTTGCAATCTCACTTGCTTGTACTCAAGACACGGATGGGGACCTGACTGCCAGACCCTTGACCTTGAGACAGCAGTCCTAGGGCACATTCAGGTTCCTTCCATGCTCAGAACACACATTAAAACACAAAGTGGTGGGGCACGGTGACTCATAATCCCAGCACTTTGAGAGACTGAGTAGAGAGGATTGCTTGAGCCCAGGAGTTCAAGACCAAGCTGGGCAACATAGCGAGACCCTATCACTATAAGAAATAAAAATAAAATAAAAGCCTGGCACGGTGGTGCACACCTGAATCCTAGCTACTCAGGAGACTGAGATGGAAGGATTGCCTGAGTCCAGGAGATCTAGACTGCAGTGAGCTGTGATCGTGCTACTGCACTCCATCCTGGGTGACAGAGTAGACTCCAACTCATAAAAAAGAAAAGAAAAGAAAAGCGACAATCTTGGCCACCCAGCTGATGAAAGGGCCAGAGGAATAGTGCCTGATGAAGCCAAGAACAAAAGATTTTCAGCAGGTCACAGGTAGCCAAAACTATCTGTAGAGATCAGGAAGGGCTTTCTGAATCATGGCATGGCCTAGCTGTCGTCCACTGCTATGACCAAGGAGGGGCCACAGAGCCCTGCAATTCAGCCCTGAGGCCAGCTGGGACTTGGCCCCAGACACCAGGGCTTTCACACCTCTTAGCCTCCTATTTCCTGGAGTCCTTTATCACACTGCCTCTGTTCCAAGCTTAAAATCTCTAGGAGCATAAGGGAGCCCCCAAAGCCTGGGGTCCTCTAGTTGCTACAGCTCATCAGAGACAGGACACCAGAGGAAGCGCTAAGGCCCAAGATGACCACGCCCATTGGGGACCCACAGGACAGACTCCTATTGTGTACTTTTTGCTTCACACACAAACAGCAAACACTCTGAAAGTTTTGTGATGAGATTGAATGTTTCAAAACACCAGACTTAAAGAAAATCCTGGAAATTTCCAGAGAGAAGAAATAGCTACTGTATTCATTTCCTAACACTGCTGTAACAAATTACCACAAACTTAGTGGCTTAAAACCATCAAATTGACTCTCTAACAGTTCCAGAGCTCAGAAGTCTCTGTGAGCTAAAACTGTGCTGTCATCAGAGCCATGTCCCCAGAGGCTCAGAGGAGCATGCACTCCTCGTCATTCTCACCTTCTGGGGGCTGCTGCATTCCTGGGCTGAAGGCTCGCATTGCTCCAGCCTCCACTTCCATCATCACGTTCCTTCCCTGACTCTAGCCCCACTGCCTCCCTCTGACAAGACCCTGACCAGATAACCCAGAACATCCTCCCATCTCAGGATCCTTGATTTAATCCTATTCCTGAAGTCCCTATTGCCATATAAGGCATGATATTCACAGGTTCTGTGGGTAGAATATGGACATCATTGGGGGTGTTGTTCAAGCTGCCACAGATGCCCACACAGAATGAGGCACATGGCATTGCCAGGCCCTTTGGATGCCTCACAAACACTGGGCAAATGGGTCAGGAGAGGGTACACACACATGTACAAACCCCATGAAGTGACAGCAGAGCACGGGAAGAAGTACAGATGAATAGGCCCCAACGGTGTGAGAGAACCAGACATAGAGTCATCTGAGGTGGTCATAGCTCCAGAAAAACAGGCCCAAGGAGCCCAGATGGCAGATAAGAAACGGAACAACTTGCCGACATGCTGGGACTCCCTTGCTTACAAGATGAAAACACCAACTGGAACCAACATGACCAACTGCAGTCTGTACAGAGTAAGCTTTCTGAGGGCTCAGCCTGAATTTTCTCTGCCTGTTTCACACTAACTCTCCCCAAATTTGCACACAGGGCTCATGAGGAGGCACAAAGAGACAACTGGACTGTGCATGTCCAAGGAAATCCCAGACCACGCTTTCCTTCTACCAATCACCTGCTCATCCCAGAACCCAGCCTCTGAACCTTTCCTGATAAAAATATGGTCTGAGTCAGCCCAAGGAGATGGATTCTGGCTGCACTCCCATCTCCTTATTGGTTGATCTACGATAAAGTTTTTCTTTTCCCAAAAACCCCGTGTCATAGTATTGGCTTCAGCACACTACGCAGTGAGCTTTCTGCTCAGTTACAGGGACACAGGCAGTGCCAGGATAGTGAGGGGACAGCTCTGAGCAGCCAGCGGCCTCAGCACACTCCCAGGTAGAGCAGCGAGGGTGCTACATCCTTGCAGCCACCATTCAAAAAGAATGAGACCAACACCAACAACCCTTCCTTCCTCGCAGGGAAGAATGAGGCTTCAAGGTGCACCCACTGCCTCTGCAGCTATTTAGTCCCAGGGATGAATGAGCCCCATGCACATCCACAGCACCACGAGTCCCCAGCAGCCATGACAAGGACAGAGCAGCACACCAACTCAGGAGATGTGGCAGTGACCAGGGAGAGTGGCTACACACATGCTGCTGGAATGTCAGAGGCAAACCGGGTACCAGTCTGTCCACACTGTCCCTCCAGACCTGGGAGGCAGAAGGGCTGGCGCAGCCCCAGTGAAGCCACAACCTATCCTTCCACTCCTGAACATGCCCACCCACTCCTGGGCACTCACTTGAACATGGCGATGAGGAGATTGAGCAGCAGAATGTTGGTGAAGAGCAGGTAGAGGCAGAGCAGGAGGACTGTGAGCCACTCAGGGAAGGCCGGCGCCAGCTGCGCCATGTCACTCTCGGGGCACTTGGGCTTGTAGGGGTCTGTGCCATTGGGGCTGCACTGGTCTGGGTTGAAGTTCACACCTAGCATTGGGAATGAGGGTGAGCAAACCAAGAAAACAACAAAGTCGGGAGGGATCCCCAAAGCCTTTGGTCATTGTCAGTATCCCCATGGGCCTAGACGCCTGCATATCTGGGTGACATCGGCTATCAGCTCGAAGCAGCCCACACAAAGTTCAGAAAGAGGCACCTGTATGTAGCCAAGCATCCTCTGCAGGCAGGCCATGGAGTCAGAGCTGCACGCCAGACTGACCCATTCCCTGCCCAGCACCCAGTCAGTCCACCAGGGCACTGTCTGGACCCCTCCAGGGCCAGCACCAGGCCGGGGTTGGGGCTGCAGTCATCAGTAAGACACAGGCCCCATCCCTGGGTAGTTCATTGGTGGGAAAGGATTTCAAAGGAAAAAATTAACAACTATCACAAAGAGAAGGAAAAATGTTGCCAAGGCAATACGGTGATAAGGGAAATAGGTGATTATGAAACAAACTATAGTTCTACATTGGCACAAAAGTAAAGAATATATAATATAATATAATATAACATAAATATGTAATCAACATTGGTAACAAAAAATCTCTAAGGAAACATACTAAGGTGTTAATAATTAAGTTGTTGTGACTAAATCTGGGAGGTAGATTATGGATAACATGTTTCTTTATGCTTGCCTTGAATGTTAAAAATTTCAACAATAAACATGCACTATGAGGTAATCCAATATATTTTTTGAAACTGTTACTAATTTTCTAATATCATTCTGAGAGATATAAATTCCAATATTAAAGAAGAAAAGCCAAAATCATTAACATAACATTCCAATTTAGTAAACTAGAAAAAGAAGAGCAAACTAAATCAAAAGCAAGCAGAAGGAAATAAATACTAAAGATTAGAATGTAAATAGAGAGATAAAACAAAATAAAGAAGATCAACAATAACAAAAGCTGGTTCTTGAAAAAGATCAGCAAAATTACACCTTTTAGCTGGACTGATCAAGAAACAAAAGAGAGAAGGCTCAAATTACTAAAATCAGAAATGAAAGAGAGAGCATTACTACCAACCTTACAAAAATAAAAAGAACTAAAAGGAAATACTAGAGAAAATTGTATGCTAAGGATGCGATAACTTAGATTAATGAACAAATTCCTAAAAAGACATAAACCGTCAAAGTGACTAGGGCAGAAATAGAAAATACAAATAGATCTATAACAAGTACAGAGATTGAATTAGGACATTGAAAACTCATACAAAGATAAGTCCAAGCTCAGAGGGGTTCACTGGTGAATTCTACCAAATGTTTAAGGGACAGTTAAAACCAATTCTTCTTAAAGAGGAAGAATACTTCCTAAGTCATTCTATGAGTCTGGCATTACCCTGATACTAAAACCAAGCAAACATTACAAGAAAATAAAACTACAGACCATACCCCTTATGACTATAGATGCAAAAAAAAAACAAAAAAAAAACCCACCCAAAAATGCTAGCAAATGGAATCCAGCAACATATAAAAAGGTCACACACCATGGCCAAGTGAGATGTATCCCAGGAACACAGGTGGTTTAACACCTGGAGATAAATTAATGTAATGTACGATAGTAACAGTATAAATAACAAAAACCATGTGAACATTTCAATAGGTGCTGGAAATGCATTTGACAAAACTGAGCACCCTTTCATAATAGAAACACTCAAGAAACTAGAGGGAAAAGAGAATCTCTTCAACCTGATAAAGGACATTTACCCCTCCCCCCAAAAAAAACAGTTAACATCATACCCATGGCAAAAGCTTTCTCCCTAAGATTAGGAACAAGACAAGGATGTCCACTCTTGCTAATGTCCTAGTCAGCATTGTACTGGAGGTTCTAACCAGAATAATTAGGCAAGATAAGGAAATAAAAAGCACCTAGACTGGAAAACATCGAGTAAAACTATCTCTATGTGCAAATGACATGATCCTGTATATAACAAATGCACTAAAAAAACTATCAGACCTAACAAAGAAATGTAGCAAGGTTTCAGAATACAAGATCAACATACAAAATGCAGCATATTTCTACACACCAGTAATTAACAATTCATAATAAAATTGATTTTAAAATGCTATTTTTAATAACTGGAAAAAGAATAAAATTCTTAGAAATAAACAATAGAAGCATAAAATACATACATGGAAAACTACAAAACGTTGTTAAGGGAAATTAAAGATCAAAATAAGCAAAATGACATCCCATGTTCACAAGAAAAATCCCAGATACCTTTTTTTGAGAAGTTGATACATTGATCCAAAAATTCATGTGAACCCAAGGGATCCAAAACAATCTTGAAAAAACAAAGTAGAAAGACTTACACTTCTCTATTTCAAAACTTACTACAAAGCAACACTAAGCAAGATAGTGAGAAACTGGAGCCAGGATAGATATATAGATCAGTGGAACAAAACTGAGAATCTAGAAATAAACCCTTATATTCATGGTCAATTGATTTTCGACAAGGATGCCAAGATAACTCAATGGGGAAAGAATCGTCTTGTCAACAAAATAATGCTGAAACAACTAAATATCCACAATGACATGCTGACCCTTATCTCACACCAGATACAAAGATTAATCTAAACAGATCAAAGGCCAAAAGAAACAGCTAAAGCTACAAATATCTTAGACAAAAAACATAGTCATAAATCTTTGTGAACTTAAGTTTTTAGATATGACACCAAAACCATAAATATTAAGAGATTAATAAATTGAATTGCATCCAAATTAAAAAACACTTGCACTTCAAAGGATACCATAAAGAAAGTAATAGACCACCCACAGAATGACAGAAAGTATTTGCAAACTATACATTTGATAAGAGACTGGTATCCTTATGTAAAGAGTTCTTACAACTAAATTACAAAAAGCTGAATAATCCAAATGAAAAATAGGCAGAGGACAGGAACAGATATCTCTCCAAAGTTATACAAGTGACACAATGAGTCCATGAAAAGATGCTCAGCAAGACAGTAATTGGAGAAACAAAGTCAGAACCATGATGAGATGCAACTTCATACCTGCCAGGACAGTGAGATTTTTAAAAATGGACAATCACAAACATCAGCAAGAATATGGAGAGGACCAGGTACGGTGGCTCACGCCTATAATCCCAGCACTTTGGGAGGCAGAGGCAAGAGGATTGCCTGAGCCCACAGGTTAGAGATCAGCCTGGGCAATGTGGTGAAACCTCGTCTCTACAATAAATCAAAAAATTAGCTGGGCATGGTGGCTGATGCCTGTGGTTCCAGCTACTTGGAAGGCTGAGGCAGAAGGGTCTCCTGAGCCCAGCAGTTTGAGGCTGTGGTGACTGTGAGCATGCCTGGGTGATAGAGTGAGACTCTTACTCAAAAAAAGGAAAGAAAGAATGTGGAGAAACTGGAATCTTCCTACGTTGCTCGTTGCTCATGGGAATGTAAAATGGTGCAGCACCTTTGGAAAACAGCCTGGCAGTTCCTCAACAAGTTAAGCATAGAGTTGTCATGTGACCTAGCAATTTCACTCCTAGGCATCTAAGAGAATAAATATATGTGCCTACACAAAAACATAAGTGACTGTTCACACAACATTATTCATGGTATTCAAAAAATGGAAACAACCCAAATGTTCACCAACTTAAGAATGGATAAACAAGCTGGGCTCAGTGGTTCAGCCTGTAATCCCAGCACTTTGGGAGGCTGAAGTGAGTGGATTGCCTGAGCCTAGGGTTTGAGACCCGCCTGGGAAACTTGGAGAGACCTCATCTCTACAATAAAATCCAAACTTAGCCGGGTGTGGTAGCGCATGCCTGTAGTTCCAGCTACTTGGAAGGTTGAGGCAGAAGGATGGCCAGAGCCCAGCAGGTCAAGGCTGCAGTGAACGGGAGCGTGCCACTACCCTCCAGTCTGGGCGACAGAGTGAGACCCCAACTCAAAAAAAAAAGAATGGATAAACAAAATGTGGTGTACCCATACAAGGGGATATTATCCAGCCACAAAAAATAATTAAGTACTGATACATGCTACAATAGAAAGAAATCAGATACCAAAAACTACATATGAGGGAGAACCCCCCAAAAAACAGAATTATCTTTTGGAAGGTGGGGCCTTTGTAAAACACTTGGAATTTGTCCCTCCAGATCAAACAATCATCCAAAATTATCTGGAAGTTTTGAGAAGGTTGCATCACAATTTGCAGAAGAAACATACTGAGTTGTGGCAAACAGCTGACTGGTACTTCCACCATAACAACACACCTGCCCATATCGCAGAGTGCTCAGCAGTTTTTTGTTTGTTTGTTTTTGAGTTGGAGTCTTACTCTGTCACCCATGCTGGAATGCAGTGGCACACTCATGGCCACCCCAGCGTCAACCTGTTGGGCTCTGGCGATCTTTCTGTCTCAGCCTTTCAAGTAGCCAGAACTACAGGCGCATACTACCACGCCCAGCTATTTTTTTCTTTATTATAGAGATGAGGTCTCACCAAGTTATCCGGGCCGGTCTTGAACCCACGGGCTCAGGCAACCCACTCGCCTCAGCCTCCCAAAGTGCTGGGATTACAGGCTAAGACACCGAGCCCAGTTCTCAGTAGTTTTTTATCAAAAACGGCATGACTCCCATGCCCCACCCTCCCTATTCACCTGATCTTGCCCAGAGCTGCTTTTTTTTCCCCTTATATAAAAAAATTCTTCAAAGGGAAACATTTTGGAAGAGGTGAAACAAAAAATGACAGAAGCACTCAGAGGCAGTAAAATTGACAAGTTCAAAAACTGTTTGGAGCAGTGGAAAAAGCATCTGGATAGGTGTATTGCATCAAACAGAGAGTACTTTGAAGGTGACTGAAGTTTAAACATGCAAGAAAAAACACAATTTTTTATAAATAAATTCCAGTCTTTGGGGTCCCCCTCATATTACATTATCCAATTTATATGAAATGTCCAGGAAATCTGTAGTGACAGAAAGTTAAGAATAGAGGTTGCTGCCAGGCTCGGTGGCTCAGCCTGTAATCCCGCGCTTTGGGAGGCCGAGGTGAGTGGATTGCCTGAGCCCGCGGGTTCAAGACCCGCCTGGGCAACTTGGCGAGACCTCATCTCTACAATAAATCAAAAAATTAGCCAGGCGTGGTAGTGTGCGCCTGTAGTTCCAGCTACTTGGAAGGCTGAGGCTGAAGGATCACTGGAGCCCAGCAAGTTGAGGCTGCGGTGGCCGGGAGCGGCCATTGCACTTCAGTCTGGGTGACAGAGTGAGACTCCAACTCAAAAAAAAAAAGAATAGAGGTTGCCTAGGGTTGAGGGGAGGGGGAGTGTGTGGAATGATCGCTAGTTGGTGTGGAGTGATCACTAGTGGGTATGGAGTGTTTTTTTAGGGTGATGCAAATGTTATAAAATTAGATGCTGTAAATATACTAAAGACTACTGAAGTACACACTTTATCCAGGCAAACTTTATGGAGTGTGAATTACATCGCAATAAAACTGTTTTTTTAAAAAAACCTCATGATAGGAATGGCATTCTCTCCTTCTAGAAGAGGAGAAAGTTATTTCTGACCGGGGAGGGAGGGAGAGGGGAAATAGGGTAGCATTCGTGTTGAGGGGGTGTCAGCCCATGCCTAGCGCCCCAGGCCACAGCTTGCTCCCCTCTTGACCTGAGGGTGGCACAGCCCAGCCCCCTACCCGGGTCTGGCATCCTCCTTCTTCCCCTGGGTAGGGTGTGCACCTTCCTTTTTCTGCCCTGGGAACTCAAGAGTTAATGATCCAGGGCCAATGCTGGCCAAACGGGAACTTGCAGGACCCCCACTGGAATCAGACTTCCCTTCCCACAGCTATACCTCAGTCACCCACCCTCAGGTTGCCTTCCCCTTGGCTGTCTCTCTCCCACCTCCCAGCAACAGCACCGGAGCTCTGTGAGTCCTGGGCTCCTACCATCAATGTAGGTCGGGATCTGCCCAAAGATGGTGAGGTAGGAGTGGTAGACGACGCCCCGGAAGATCCAGTCCACTCGGCTCTCGTTGTGGATGAGGATAGCCTGCTTGGCCACCCCAAAGGACACGACCCACACGGCCAACAGGAAGAGGAAGAAGAAGACGTCCTTCATCTGCAGGGACAGCAAGGCTCATGGGCTGCACTCTCCACGCTTCCCATACCCTCCTGCCCTGAGGCAGCCTGTGCCCGCTGCGCCCAGCAATGGTGAAGAAGACACTGCTGCCCCCAGCACAGATGTGGGATGTCAAGAGGCTCCCGGGGAACAGCCCTGGGGCTGACTCCACAGCCCCACAGAGTGCCAACAACTCTGTGCTGGGCACCACTGAGGTGTCGGAAGGAGTCAGACATAACCGTGACCCAAGGAGGAAAGCTCCCATAACTGAATCAGAGAACAGGAATGAGTTGTGGAGATCAGAGAGAAGAACCAGGGAAGGTTTCCTGAAAGAGGTGGCATACAGGCAGAGATAACACAAAGGCATCCTTGGAGCCCAGGGGGCAAAGCAGGGACACTAGAACCTATGGATGTGCTTAAGCCCTAGTCTATCTCACTGGCTGTGGGCATGTCCTCCCTCCAACCCATCCCCAGCAGGCCTCCCTGGAGACCCCATTCCCTTACCATTCGCTTCACAATGATTATCTTGGGCCCCAGTGTCTTACTGACAGTAAAAATGTGCATGAGTCGGAGGCAGAACATGATGAAATCCAGAGCCAGGATGACGCGCCCAGAGTACAGCATGGCTGGTATGAGCCTGGCAGCGGCAGAAGAAGGCCCACCTCAGCTTGACTCACCCAGGCAGCCATGGCCCAAGAGCCTGTCCCCAGCCCAGCATGGCCCCTGGACCCTAGTGTGTTAAGAGCTGGTGCCAGACTGAGGAGCAGAGCCTCAGAAAGATCCAGATGCCCAGGCCCACAGCAGCTGGCTGGGGGACACCCTAGGAAACAAGCAGGCTGGGCCAGGTTCCTCCGGCTTGTGGAGAAAAGGGGCCACAGTCCCGCAGACACATGAGACCTGGATAGGAAGTGCACTCTCCTGAGGATGACTGGTGTCTCAGACATGAGGTGGGGAGAGAGCTACGGGATGAGGGCCACTCACCGGCAGGTCAGCCCTGCTATGAAGAGCAAGATGGCGCCAACATCCAGTTTATTCCAGAAGTCACTAAAGTACAAGGCAGCCTTCTTCATCAGCCCACACTCATCAGGGTCATAGAAGAGCTACTGGGAATAGGGGGGTGGGGAGGCAGATGTGCTGTCACTATCACTGTCACTGTCACTATAATTTCACTGTCACTATCAATGCCACTAATAGTATCACTGCCATTATCACAGCATTATCATCACTAATATCACTACCACTATCACTATTATTATCATTATCACTACTATCACTATCATTATCACTATCATTGTCACTATTCTATTCACTATCACTATTATTAGTATCACTACTATATTATCACTATCAGTATCTCCATCCATATTCACTAGCACTATCATTTCATATTCATTATCACTATCACTACCATCATATTTATTGTCACTATCACTATCACAATGAAACTGGCTCAATCTTCCAGCAAGCTGGATGCCCATGGAATTGAAGCTGGAGAAACTCACACTTGTGCCATGAGACGTCCCTGCCACCTGCTGGCAGCTCTTCTTCCTCAGTCTTCCCCGTTTCCTGATTTCCAGCACACGGTTACAATGAGACAAGGGACCCCTCATCTGACTAGTTGAAATGGCCTGTTGGCCAACTCCTCTTCCTGCCCCTCATGTTTTCCCTCCTTGCTATACAAACCCCTAATGCTACCTGGGAGGATTTGAGGTTTGTCTGCCATCTCCCCAGCTGACATCACCCATCATAAAACCTTCTCTCCTGGCCATACTCACCATCTCAGTGACTGGCTTTCTGTGTGGCACAAAGCAGGACCCTGCCCTTAACTGGTATTTAGTAGCAGCAAGAGAGAGCCCAGGAGAGGCCAAGCAAGGCCGCAGCATCGCACCCAGGCCCCACCCAGCCCTGACCCTGCATTTTCTTCCTGAAGATTCTGGTACCTTCTCAGGGTACCCCCAACAGGCAGTGGTGTTTACACAGTATAAGCTGGCTTTCTAACTAGGAACCTGGTGGTCTACTAAGGTGAGAGAGCAGAAGTGATTCTAGGCCAGGGCTACCTCTCAGTAGGCCGACCCCACCCCACCTCAGCCCTGAGGGTCCCATCTACCTAGTCCACAGTCACTGGCTGCCACAGGTGCTGGTGCCCTGGGAATACAGTGGAAATACCATACAGCAAGAAATTAACCTTACCCAAAGAGCAGTTTGACCTTGCATTTAGCTCCTGGGAGATGACCTATGAGACCTTGGAATATCCTGGCTGATAGAGGTGTCATTGCTTACCAGGGGCCTGGGACACTTGAGATGGTCCCTCAATGCGACTTAGGGTCAAGAGTCTGGGCCAGATGGTCCACAGTGTGATTTAGGGTTGGGGGGCTGGGCAGTGTCAGCTTAGTCTTGAGGGCTGGAGACAGGTCAGCCATGTGGATGTTCAGTCAGGCTTATTTGACCACCCCCCAATAAAAACCCTGGACATCAAGGCCCAGGGGAGCCTCCCTGGGAGTAGTGCTCCCAGTTTGTTGTCACACATGTTGTTGGGAGGACTAGGCACTGTCCACACCTCCAGGGAGGGACACCAGGAAGTTCTAGGTTTGGAGCTATCCTGGACATGGCTGTTTGACCACTCCCTCAGCTGATTTAATCTGTGACTTTTGTTTAATAAATCATAACTGAGCATCACAGCTCTCTGTGAGTCCTTCTGGCTCATTACAGAATCTGAAGGTGGTCTTGGGGACCCCAAACCTTACACTGACCACCACAGGAGAGGGAGGGGACACGTCCACCCAAAGTTCACAGGGTCACAAGGATCAGGACATCTCATTTTGAGATGATCAGATAAGATTTCCAGGAGGAAGGGATGCCTGGGGGTGGGATAGAGAGCAGAGAGGCTGACCCCCACCCTAAATCACACTGTGGACCATCTGGCCCAGGCCCCGCCCTAAATCACAGTATTGGACCGTCAGGCCTGGGTGGACAGGGGACTGAAGGGGGTGCAAAGGGCAGGTCCTAGGCAGCTGTTAGAGGGAAAGAGTGCCACTCTGCTCCAGGGTCTTGCCCAGCTCACAGGAGACATGTGAGGCCTGATGTGGCTGGGCACTTGACCCTAGGTGCCCCATGAGGAGGTAACTGAGGGGTGGGGCTAAAGGGCCACAGGACCCCAGAGAGCAGCCGGGTCTATACCTGTCGTGTCTCCTCGCACACCAGGGAGAAGAGCCAGAGGTAGATGACATACTCGCACCATGAGGGCCGGGGCTGGAAGTCCACCATAAGCACATAGGCAAAGAGGCAGAGGAAAGTGAAGTAGGACAGGATGTTCAGGTGGAAGATGACCACGGGAGCATTGAAGAAAGCTCGGGCCCGGGTTGGGCCGCTCTCTGCCTGCAGTCTCTTCTCCCTACGGGTGCCACACAGACACATGACCATGAGGGGCAAGGTACTGACAACCCACAGACCATGGCCACCTGTGAATCTTCACACCCCTGAGAGAGATGGGCTTGGGAGTCTCACTGGCACCCAGGAATACACAGCAGTGACAGGGGGAACCAGCATGGTGCAGCACGGGGAGAATGCAGGCACAGAGGGATGACTAGACCACGTGGCCCAGCAAAGTAAGGGCCCAAAGATGTTCTCCAATGTCCTGCCCACACCATGAACTTGGTGGGTCTGAACTGGGAGACCCAGCCTGGCCCTGAACTTGGCCCTGGGTATGTCCTGCATGCAGTGCTCCTGGCACTGAGTGGGTGCTCAGGCCTCTGTCTCCTCTTGTAACTAGGAACAGGCTTTCCTCACTATCCATGGGTGGGGTTGCAGGGCTGACCAGGCCAGCAGAGCGTGGCCAGTGCAGGGTGCTTGGCCCCACAGTCCCTTACCCCAGAACTGCTAGAAATGGAACCAGAGGCGGCTCTGCTTCCTTGGGAAAGCTCCAGAAGGGCAAGCGCTGCCTTAGGGCACCTGAGTCACTCTTCCCTGCCCTGGTTTCCCCCAGGATGCTCTGAGTATTCATGCTGACTCAGGCCTGCATCCCTGCAGCCAGGGGGACAGAAGGAGGCAGGCGGTGTAGCCTCTGGGTTGCCAAAGGGGCTAAGCCAATGGCCACCTGGGCCAGGCCTTGGATTTGCCCTGACTCCCAGGTGAGCCTGAGTCTGCATACAACCCTCAGTAAAACAGCTGACCCCAACAGGCCCTGCAAGCTCCTAGGGAGGAACAGGTGGAGTACAGGTGGGTCTCCAGCCATGTCCTCCTGCGTCCGAGGGGAAGATGGCTCCATCCTCACAGGCTCCATGTTGTGGAGGACAGGGAGGCTTCTGACTGTGGCTCACTGCCCCCACCCATAGCTTAGGTTTGCAGCACCGGCAGGAGCAGGAGACCACCTGCCCCATCCTCCCGGGTACTCTGGGATGGACTGACCAGCACCACACAGCCTCAACACTGCGACAGGGGCATGGTGGGAGCTGGGAGCACGTGGGTCCCCACCCCACCTCCTGCCCATCATCTCTGCCACTCTAGGATCCAGGCACAGCCATGAGGACATGTGACTTGCTCCCTTCAAGGGCATTTGGGGCAGGTCCTGAGCCTCGGGACCCTCTCGCCCATCACCGTCCCATGGCCCGCCGCACCTGAAGGAGACGAGGTTGGTGAAGAGAAGCGGGAAGACCAGCATGCACAGGACCACGCGCCACAGCCCGTTGTCTACACAGAGCTGGCCCCACCATACCTTGGTCAGGAAGGCCTGTGGACAGGGCAGTTTCAGGATGTTGGGCACCCCACCCTGTGCCCCAGGGTGCTCTGTGCTCCCCACAACACTGTCATTCATCTTGAGGGCTCAAGGTTCCAAGTGGGCAGAGCTGGGCCACAGTCTCTCAGCAGCAAATGACAGAAAGGCAGAGCTCACCCCTGCTCCCACAGACTGGCCCCTCTGAGCTCTGTGGGAGGATGCGACCCCTCCCAGGCACCCCCAGGCCCAGCCCAGCTCAGGACAGGATGGGCACTGGGTGAACCTGGTGATGGCGTGAGGCTGAGCTCCGAGGAAGCCCCTGTTGCAGGCCAGGCCCTGCCCTGGGTGTGGAGGCAATGCTGAGAGCAGCTGCCTCTCCATCCCTGCCCTCAGCTGCTCCAGGAAGGATATGCCTGCCTCCTCTTCCTTCCTGGCAGAGATGGCTCATGTGGTGCCCAGGATGCCTAGGGCCTGCCTGCAGCTCCCAAGTGGGAACATCATATGCCTGGAAGCAGCCGTCTCCATAGCCACCCATCCCCTGCTTCTGCTCAGCCTTGGTTTTCTCATCTACAGAATGGGAGTAGAGTCTTCCAGCCTGGAGCAGTGACCGAGGGATCAGGTGCTATCCCTGAGTCAGGAGCTGAAACTCGTGTGAATGTGGAGGCTGACAGTTTGAACCAAGGCTGTGCCCCCCTCAGAGCACCATGGGCACCTGTTTCTGGAAGCAGGCCCGGGGGGTCACCTGAATGCCTCCATGAGACACAAACTTCATATCCTTGGCCTCCAGAGCGAGCTGCAGGCAGGTGGTCTTCCCCCAGGCCTCTGACACATGGATGAGTAGCTTCTGAGCTCTCTCTTCATCCTTGCGGTAGCACTCAGTGAAGACGCCTGGGTGGAGAAGGAAAAGCCACATCAGAGCACAGGTCACTGTGACAGAACCCTGGGGACAGGTCAGAGGGCATCCCTCCAGACAACCTGCAGACAGGCCAAATGAGGGGAGCAGATGTCCTCAAACACCTAAGCCCAGGGGTGAGGGTCCCAGGGTGAGGGCATGGGGCCTGAGACCCAGGGATGAGGCTCCCAGGGTAAGGGCATGGAGGGCTGAGACCCAGAGTGAAGGCATGAGGGCTGATACCCATGAAGAAGGGGCCCAGGGTGAGTGTGCAGAGCTGACACCCAAGGAAGAAGGTCCAGATGGCAGCACACGTAACTGAGCCCCATCCCGTAGCCTGTACCCGTGGAGCTCACCGATGGCCCTGTGCTCATACTCATCCGCCAGTGCCAGCATCTCCTCTGAACTGTCCGTGTCCTCCTCCTCCTTAGACAGCTCTTTCAGGATCTTGCTGCAGGCCAAAGCTGCTGCAATGCAGTCCTGGCTCTGGGGACCCGGGGAGACACTGTGAGACCCTGGGAGCCTAGCTAGGTTCAGCCCAGCCTGGGGAGCCTGACACACTGTCTGGGGTGACAGAAGCAGAGGCCCCAGGACAGTATAGGTGACAGGGCAATTACTCTTTGTGACCTTGTCTATACAAACAATATGAATCACCTCAAATCAACACTAAGCCCCTTTCGCTCCCTGGGGAGGGGTCTGCTTGCCCTGCGGTGTTTAATGGTCAGAATGTGCACAGCACACACACCAGCCCAGCAGGACCCTTGTGGGCTGTAAAGGATCATACCACCTGACCTGTGTGTGCCCAGCAAGCCTCAGTCCTGGACGTAACCACAGGAGGAATTTGTTTGTCAGAACTTTTAAAGTAAAAATTCCTTTCTTAGGTTAGGCTTGGAGGGTCATGCCTATAATCCCAGCACTTTGGGAGGCCAAGGCAGAAGAATTGCTTGAGACCAGGAGTTTAAGACTAACCTGGGCAATAAAGCAAGACCTCATCTCTACAAAAAAATTAGAAAATTAGCAGGATGTGGTGGCACATACCTGTAGTACTACTTGGGAGGATAAGGTGGAAGGATCACCTGAGCTCAGGAGGTTGGGGCTGTTGTAAGCCATGATTGTGCCACTGCACTCCAGCCTAGGCCACAGAGTGAGACCTTGACTCAAAAAAAAAAATTCCTTTCTTACCTAGAGCTAAGCTCTCTGTTTTCCAACTCTGGGCACCTGGGTCCTTCCTGATGCTGGGGACACCCACCATCCTTCCTCCACAGGCTCCACTTTCAGGAGGACTTGGGCCCTCCCACCATGTTCCCCGACTGGCCACTGGCTAACACATAGGCCAGTGTCTGCTAAGAAGCAGGTTTCGTTACCTGAGCCCAGATGATCCCTGCCAGCTCCCCACGGTTCTGGACAACGGCCCAAATGAGAAGGTCACGCACGGGGTCCATGGTGAAAGTCACGTGGCCCGAGGAACGCTTGTAGAGGGACCGGAGACTTACTCCCTGCACCTGGGAGCAGCCAACACTCAGAGCCCCATCCTGCGCCCCATGGGCTCAGATTCCCCGAGGGGCGAGGGGGGCAGTGGGATTCAGGTCTTGATCCCAGCCCCAACCTTCTCAGGACCCCTGTCCCTAGAGGCTGAGCCCCACAACCTTCATTTTCAACATCCTAGGTCGTTCCTCTGCACACGGAAGATTTTAAAAACATTGCTCTGATTTAACATCATACTATAAGGGGGGGGCACATAAGATCAATAAGGGTACCTGATCCCAAACCAGGTGAAAAGGGGACCAAAGGGAGGCCCAGATTTCACCTGTATGATGACCACTTATGTACCCGATCCTGAATATAGCCTGTATCTTTAAAATAAAATTAAATTGAAAAAAGCAACACACACACATTGTTCTGGAGACATCTAAAAACATCAAGAAAGTAGAATGCCCATCTAAGTCCTTCACCAACATTTTTAGGTCCTTGTTTCATGTCAGACACTTCAAGCATTTTTCTTTTTTTTCCTTCCACCTCAGCTTTCCAAGTAGCTGGAATTTTAGGCACATAATACCACACCTGGCTATTTTTTTTTATAATTGTGGAGATGAGGTCTTGCCAAGTTGCCCAGGCTGGTCTCAAACTCCTGGGCTCAGGCAATCCTCTCGCCTCCTCCTCCCAAAGTGTTGGCATTACAGGTGTGAATCACTGCATCCAGCAAAAGCCTTTTTTAAATAAAGTAAAATCCTGGCACAACAGAGTCTGCCCATAGATTTGTGGCCGTGATTTCCTTCAGGGAACTGCATGCAGTGTCTCCTGTAGAGAAGGCCACCAAGACACATACGCTGAGTGGACAAGGCTCACACACCAATAGGAGCACCTTACCCCAAACATGCCCAACCTATACATCCAGGCTTCCCAGCCACCTAGGCAACCTGTTCTCATATGGTCTGGAAACAATTCCCAGAAGTAGAAACCTTTCTTTAAGTGGTTCTAGACATTTTCTGATGGCTTATCTTTATTAAAAATATTAGTTTTTCTTCTTAAGTTGCAGCTACAGATACATGTGAGCATCTGCTTTGGGTCTTCCTAAGCACATTCCAACTGGGCATCTTGACATATTGAATTCAAGAAGAGTAGACTGGAAACATATAAAATCAAGCCATAGCCATGTCTTTCTCAGAAGCTCAACTGGGACAATAGACAAGTTGGAAAATATGCAGGAAATGAATACTTTTCTAGCAGGACAAATAAAAAGCAGGCAGGGCATGGTGGCTCATGCCTATAATCCCAGCACTGTAGATAGCCAAGGAGAGAGGATTACTTGAGCCCAGGAGTTTGAGACCAGCCTAGGCAACAAAACAAAATCTTGTTTCTACAAAAAATCAAAAAATTAGCTGGACATGGTAGCACGTGCCTGTAGTCCTAGCTACTGGGAAGGCTGAGGCAGAAGGATTGCCTGAACCCATGAGGTCGAAGCTATGGTGAGTTGCAAGCATGCTACTGTACTCCAGCCTGGGTGTCAGAGTGCGACTCCAACTCAAAAAAAAAAAAAAAAAAGTGATCTTAGAAGAGACAGAGAACATAAACAGTAAAATAATCAGGAAAGAAATTGAGAAAGTTATTGGAACTATTACTTTTTTAAAAAGGCACTGAGCCCAGATGGATTCACAGGGGAGTCTCTAACAAGTTTGTAAAAAATAGGTCACTCCAACCATGTAAGCTGTCCTAGAGCTTTACAAAGCTAACTCAAAACTGATACTACAGCCTGACAAATATAGCCCCCTAACTAAAATTACAATCAAAAACTTAAATATTCTGATACAAAAATCCTGAAAATATTGGCAAGAAAATCCAGTCATATTAAATGTGTACTACACTGCAGCTAAGATTCAAAAGAGGAATAAGAACATGTTTCACTATCAGGAAATCTATTAAAATAATTCAAAAGACTGGGCACAGTGGCTCAAGACTGTAATCCCAGCACTTTGGGAGACCGAGGTGAGGGGATTGCCTAAGCCTACGGATTCGAGACCAGCCCAGGCAACTTAGCGAGACCTCATCTCTGCAGTAAATCAAAAATTAGCCTGGCATGGTAGCATGCCCCTGTAGTTCTGGCTACTTGGAAGGCTGAGGCAGTAGGTCAACACTGGGGTGGCCACGAGCATGCCACTGCATTCCAGCCTGGGTGACAGAGTAAGATTCTAGCTCAAAAAAAAAAAAATTCACAAAATTCATCAGTCACAGAAGAAAAGCAGCTTGATCTTCTCAAAAGGCAGCTGACAAAACAGCACAGATGCTTTGTTTTGTGAAACATTAATAAATCAGAGGACATGAATACTCATAAATACATATATGTATACACCAGTCAGGCACAGTGCTCAAGCTGGTAATCCCAGCACTCTGGGGGTCAGAGGAGGGAAGATCACTTGAAGCCAGAAGTTCAAGACCAGCCTGGCAACAAAATGAGACCCTGTCTCTACAAAAAAATAGAAAAATCAGCCGGGCATGTGGCATACAACTGTGGACCCAGCTACTCAGGAGGCTGAGGCAGGAGGATCACTTAAACCCAGGTGGTCGAGGCTGCGGTGGTGAGTTGTAATAGTGCCATGGCACTCTAGCCTTGGCAACAGAGCAAGACTCTGTCTCAAAACAAGCAAACAACAACAACAACAACAAAACCATCATTCCTAACATTGAGACACTACAGGGTACCCATTAAACAACAGTGCAGGCTACAGCACTCCTTCACCTCCTACAATGCAGTGCATGACTGCACAACTCACTCAGATATGGGTGAACTATCACTGGCTTGTCTACATGAGAGCCTGAGAGTACCTGGTGAACAGGAGGGGTCTCTGAACAGGGCATTCATTCTCCCTGAATAACCTTTTGTACTGTTTGGAAATTTTAGGAAGGAAAGGAGTGTTATGCACCAAATTGTGTTCCCTAAAATTTATTTGTTAAAGCCGTAATCCCCAATGTGATTGTAGGATTTCGAGACAGGGCCTTTAAGAAGGTAAATATGGTTAAATGAGGTCATGGGCTGGGTCCCTAATCCAGTAGGACTTATAAGAAATGACACCAGAGACCTCTCTCTACCTCGTGAAAACACAGCAGGAGGGTGGCTACCTGCAAGCCAGGAAGAGACCCCCCTCACCAGAAACCAACCCTGCCAGCTCCATGACCTCAGACTTCCAGCATCCAGAACTCTGGGGAAATAAATCTGTTGTATAAGCCTGTATAAGTCTGTGGAATTTTGTTATAGCAGCCCAAGTAGACTAAGATGGAGCATATCTCTTTTCTAATAAAAAAATAAAAGCTACTTTTAAAGACAAAAGCTCTAAGAACATAGCAATATTTCACATAGACTGAGCCAGGTGGGGCCCATTACCAGCACGCACATTGAGCTTGATGTGGGGCATGGGCAGCAGGAGCCGCGGTCGGTCGCTGTGCCGGGGACGGGGGTACAGTGGCTGTGTGAAGTCCCCCAGGAGCTCCCGCAGCACCTGAGCCACGTGGTGCATTTGCACACGGGGGGCAGCGGGCGCACACGCCAGGCGCTCAGGCTCCTCCGCCAGCACTTTCTGCAGCTTGCAGTGGAACAGGCAGGAGGGCTCAAGGTTCTCATAGAGGTAGAGTAGGGTGTCCCAGGTGACAAACTCCTTCAGTCGCACGCCGTTCTCTAGGAAGAGCTTCACAAACTCGGGCTTGTTGGAGATGAGGGCAGCTGTCATTGTGGGGTGCAGATCTGTGGGCTGAGAGCGAGCGTTGTGGAGATGACCATCACATATGGGCGTCATCCCCCGCCATTCTGATTTCAAAAGGCCCTGGAGGTGGGAGCTGCCATCAACCCCCATCTGGAGAGGATGAAACCTTCCCAGGTCACCAGCCACCAAGGAAAGGGCTGGGATCCAGACGGACACCGCCCCCAAGCCTACGCTGGTTTCCATGGCACGATGCACATAGGTCCAATAGGCCCCTCACGGGGCATCCCAGGAGACCCACCTTCCACTGCCACTCATCGGTGAAAATCTCGCTGCGGGCAATGTCCACACGATTCCACGCCACGGCCAGCTTCAGCTGGTGGTCCCAGTTCTCGTGGCCAAAGTGGTCTTGGCTCCGTGAGGCTACAAGAGAATGTGCGCATGTTGAGGCCTGGATCTGGGACTCAAAGCTATTTCTCTCCAGTACCCCCTGACTCATAAAGTCAGAGTCAGGAGTTTGCCATGAGCCCTCACCTCTCAACAACTTAAAGCAACAGATGCAGCACTCTGTGACACCATCCTGCCCTACACATACCCTTGTGTCCATTTTGGGGTGAGAAACTGAGAATCTTGAGGCTTTGGTTATCACTTCATCTTACCCCATGTCCCCTGCCACCCTCCTAGCCATGCAAGGGTCCCTAAGTGACAGGTGAGCAGCGAGTGAGAAAAGAACCTCCTTATTTAAAGAAGATACGGTCTCCAGAAGGAAGGCGTTTTACATTAACATTCAAAATGTAGAACTCCAAAAGTCATCACATTTCCTTCTTTGCCTGGATAGCCTGTCAATACTCAACTGCAACAACCACCTCACCCAGGTTCTCAGGACAAAGATTTCACCCAAGTAGCTTCTGCAGTCTCTTTCTGGTCTAACTTTTTACATCGTGGGTTGTTATTTGACTCTTAAATCACACCACATACAAAAATCAACTTGGGGTGAACCACAGACTGAAACGTAAAAGCTATATCTACAAAGCTGCTATCATGAAACAGAAGGCTCTCACCCTGTTTCCTAACCCTCACCCTCACCTTTAAGCAAGGCCTGCAGGATGGCCACATCTACGTCCTGTTGACCATCCTTGCCTTCCCGGAAGATGGTCAGCAGCTGCCGCCTCCGGACAATGTCTTGGATCTGCAACAAACATTGTCCAAGTAAGATATACAGTGGTTGTGAACTCCCTGCTTACTCTAGGGACACGTGGGGCTTAGGCCCCAGGTACTGCCGGACTCCTGGGTCCTGCCTGACCTTGTGGTCAGGGATACCACCACACCTCCCCTCCCTTTAGACAGTGAAGGTGAAGATTCATGATGGCTAAACACACCATGTTTGTGAGTAGTATATCGTGTGGAAGACAGCCAAACATAAAGGCTCCTCACCCTGGTGATGGTGAGTTTAATGTGAAGCTCCTCCTTCTGGACCTCCTGCTGGGCCCTGGCTGCTCCTCACCACCTGCTACCTACCCACCTGCTATCTATCTGTGTATCTATCTATGTGTCTACCTAAGTATGTATCTATGTATGTATATAGGTATCTATATGTGTAACTACATTAGTATGTACCAATCCATGTATGTATCAATTTATGTATCTGTGTATCTAAGTCCATGTCTGTGTATGTATCTACCTATGTGTGTGCCTATCTTTGTATCTATCTGTATATATGTATCTATCTATATATCTCTTTGTATGTATCTATCTGTATATATGTATCTATCTTTTACTTTGTATGCATCTATCTGTGTATGTACCTATCTTTGTATGTATCTATCTGTGCATTTATGTATGTGTCTCTCTATATTTCTTTTTTTTTTTCTTTTTGAGTTGGAGTCTCACTCGGTCATCCAGCCGAGCCCGGCTTTATATTTCATTATCTGAGTTTGGGTACTCATCATCCCTACTTTACAGACAAGAAAGGGAAGAGAGCTAAGTGACTTCCTCATGACCACATGGCTGTGAGCTTCTGCTGTGAGGCCCCTGCAACTCCCTTGGATGGGGCCCACACCTACCAGCAACAGCATCTGAGGGCAGCAGCACTCCCTCTCCTGCTACTCTGCAGTATAGACAGACAGCCTAAGAAGGTCTGCTGAAGGAATTAATTGATCATGATTATGTGACTGTCCCCTCCCCACCGAGCAAGAATATGGGTGAATGGTAGTCCCTTGCGAGGTTTGAGATGGATTAGTACGAAGCACCATTTTCAGGGCCTTGTCGTGGCAATGGAGAGTGGATTAAAAATAGTAAGCACCTTCCGACAACAGCAGATTAGATGTAGTTCTGAGAAGTGCCTGAATAATTTATAAACTAGCTGAGAAACAGTTTCAGGGCCTGCCTGACAAGCCCCAGTGGAAGCAGCCCTGACGTCAGAAGCTGGGCTGACGCTCACAGCCCGGCCTTGTTTCCACAAAAGGACCTGACATACATGGCTAAATTATATTATTCTCACAGAACATCTGTGCCCAACAAGGCCACTCTGAGACCACAAGAAAGCACTGACAAGATCACCATGCCACCCACAGATCACCTGGCCACAGAGGCCCTGCTTCCTGGTCAGCCAACAGGGCCCAAGTCCTGCAACAAGTTCTCTGACATCCTGTAGTTCCTGTGGGCACCATCTCTCTCATCCAGCAAGTCCTAGGCCCAACCTGGCCAACCACGGGTATCCCTGTGGCACCAATAGCCCATGAAGCCCAGATTAAACACAGTTGGAACTGGCACTGTTCCACAGACTCTGCATGTGGATATCAAGGCACTGCATGGAAGACACTGATGCTATTTGCTTTGCCAGCCCCAACCTGCCGCTGGGGAAACTGAGGCTCAGAGACACCCACTGCCACTGCTGAAAACCCTGCTAGGAACTGAGGCTAGATGACCTTGGAATGCGAGTGCCCAGGCCCTGGGGTTTGGATGTGGCCAGAACCAAGAATTGTCAGGTGCAATGAGGAACTCTCCACCTGAACTCAGCCCCCAGTCAAGGGTTTCATGTGCTGGGGAGAGCCGACTAGCCACTATCCTTCATTTTGACCTCCTTTGGGGACCAGGTTCATGGCAAGGATTACTCAAAATCCAACCTCTGAATTGGGACGACGGCCCCTTCTGAGGCCCACTCCACATTGCTCCACACCGCCGATGAAGCTGCGAGGCTGAAAGGGACCCTGTTGCCCAAATTGGCAAGGCCTATACCTCGGCTCTCCAGGCCTCCTCAGCACCCACCTCCTGCTCCCTCCAACTCAGCAGATTCTTCTCACAGCAGCAAGCTCCAGTCCTGCAGTGTCCCAGCCCAGCCCTGGTGTGCTGACAGTGACAGATTCAAGTCTCCACCTCCCCTGGCATGCTGTCACGTGATCTGACCTCCTGAGCCTAGCCAGGAGGCTCCTTGCCTGTGCTCCCTCTACCTCCTGTAAATTGCCTCCACTCCCACCCAGACCCAGTGGTACCTCTGTTCTGGTTCACATGTCATGGTCCCGCCCAGCAGGGTGACAGCATCTCTGGGAAGTGGCCACACTCTGGTGACCAGCATGCCCATCTGCCTCACCTTCTTGGTCCACTCAGCAATCCTGCTTTCTGTGAAGGTCTCAAACATCTCCTGGAAGAACATGCTCAGCTTCTGCTGAATCAGGGACATGGTGATGTCCGAGATGGGTAGGCTGGCCACTTGGGCGATGACATCAGCCACGCGACCCGAGCCCTCCACGATCACACAGGGTGTGCCATTGGTGATGGCATTGTAGATGGTCTGTGAGGCAAGGGTGGGTGTGAGCCGGGACCAAGTCCTCACCTTGCCCTAACGCCTTTGAAGTGGAGCCTCTCCAAGGCTGAGGGCACGGCTGACTTGCTACTGGGAAGTTTACTGGAAGTATACTGGTTTAGTGGTATCTCACTGTTCAGAGGAAAGAGGGAGCCATCCTGACACACTGTGGGGTGCATACCTGATACACTTGCTTTCAGATCTGTCGCTTACACTGTCGGAATGGAAGGGCTATGTGGCATTTTCATGCATTGATCTGCAGATGTGAAAGCCTCCCCACAAAAGGGACCCTGCAGGGACTAGAGTCACTGGCCTCATAGAGGCTCAGAGTAAGAGCAGGACAATGAGGAGGACCCAAGCCAGGGTATGCTGGACTTCAGGAGGAGACTGTAACAAAGCCACTCAGATTGGATGCCTGAGCAGTGAGTGAGTACCTGCTCTGGGGCTGAGGAGGCCACTGCAACTGCCATGAGAGAGACGTGAAGGGAACTCAGCTCGTCCAGGGACTGGGGAACTGATGCTCTTGGGAGTTCTGTCCAGTCATGACCTCCCCCCGCCCCGCCCTGCCAGGGCTTTGTTGTGACCTTCTACGGTAACAAAACATAAATAGGGGAATTTCCTCTGATCCCATTTTATAAAGCCCTGCTCTTGCCCCAGATCTACAGGTAGTTTCATCACATTCCTGCATCCGAGGAGGCAGCCACACACTGCAGAGGGCTTAGGGCTAGGGTCAGGACAGAAGGCCCACAGACCAGCACATTAAAACTCCCCAAGAAACCTATTGCAACTCAGCAGCTGATACCAGGTCTTGGTGCAGGCCAAGGGCCTTTACTGAAAACACTCCCTAGAGGCGTCTGGGAGGCAGAGTTGTAGAAAACCCTGGCCTCCCAAGAGAGGTCCTGGGAGCAGAGGCTGCTGGCCTTTTTCTTCCATGACAGTCAGTGCCAGGCCAAAGCCAAGCTCATCCTTCCCGTCCCCAGGTCTCTTTCACAGGCCCCTCCTCAGCCCACCAGGGAGTGTCCCTGTCATAGCCTGAACTCTCTCTCTGCATCTCCTGGTGCACAAGCTCATCACCCTCTCTTGTCAGTAGTTCCACCGGGTGTTGGGACAAGTGCTTCCTGCCAGTCATCCACCCGACCCCTCCCACTGGCCCATACTCACATTCAGCGTGCCGGGGCCACCCTCCAGCACCACACAGACGATGGGGATCTTGATGGCCACACCTAGACAAAGCACAGAGCCCAAATGAGGGGACATTGGACTCAAACCCTCCACTGGTGACTCCACTCTTGCCACCTCCAACCTGACCACATGCAGAAACATCTGCTAGGAGACCTGCAGCAAGTGCAAGCAGCTTCTCGGGGTCACTGCTCCAGATTTGCAGGGATTTGCTTGTTTTGTGTCAACAAGCACACTCCAGACCCTGCCCACACACCTCAACCCTTCCTGTTCATTTTCTTGGGTGGGAGGAAGGGGTGAGAGGAACGTCAGAGTGGATATTCACGTGCCCCCAGCTGTCTTCCTGACCCAGTGGACCACAACCACCACCAGCCTTTCTCTACACCCTTTTCAAAGTGCCCCAGGGTCTGGGTGTGCCCAAGGGTACCCAGCAGGTGGGTAGAACCCACGGTGTGTGGGCAGGCACAGGACATGGGCACTTCTCCCTCTGTCCATCCATCCGGCCCAGCAAGGGGTGTTTGAGAAGCCCTTAGCATTCCCTTTCCCTGGACAGTAAACTATCTCCTGCCAACCATGGACTCCCATCTTCACATGCTCACTCCCCACGTGCCCCACCCCAGGCTCTCCTAGCCAAAACAGGGTTCTAAAAGTGGGATCTGCAGACCAGCAGCATCAGCATCACCTTGGAAACATGTTAGAAACACAAGTTCTCGGCCCACCCAGACCTGCTGAGTCAGGGACCCTAGGATGGGGTCTAGAGGCGTCTGGGTGGCAGAGTTGTAGAAAAACCCTGGCCTCCCAAGAGAGGTCCTGGGAGCAGAGGCTGCTGGCCTTTTTCTTCCATGACAGTCAGTGCCAGGTCAAAGACAAGCCCTCTTGAGATTTTGACGCACATGGAAGCCTGAGAGGGGTCCCAACCACCCAGGCACAGGCCAGATGCCTCCTAGCATCTTGGTCACTTCTTTACCCCTCCTCAAATCACAGGCAAATTCCTGTATTTGGCCTCCAGTATCCTCAAATCCATCCCATCCCACCTATAAGGAGAAAGATGCTAAATGCGGAGTTTGGGCTGTTGTATATTTGATTTCTGAACCAGAGACCAGACCGTGTTTATGGTTTAAAATAATTACAGGATAGGCTGGGTGTGGTGGCTCATGCCTTTGGGAGGCCAAGGCAGGAGGACTGGTTGAGCCCAGGAGTTCAACATACCAAGACTAGACAGCATACCAAGACTTCCTCTCTACAAAAAATTTAAAAAATAAAATAATTATAGGATGATCTATTACCTAGGAGTATACAGAGGAGCCACCAGCCCACCTGTCCTTCCTTTCACCAGTTAAAAGGGGCAAGATAAAATGACCTCCACTGAGCAAAGTGTAAAGAGATGGGAAGGAAATACAGGTGAGTTCTGAGCGCTCCTCTGAGCGCCATGCCTGCTCAGCCCTCTGGTCACAACCAGCTGGGTCCCTGGCACTAGGACCAGCCACTGCTCTCTCTGCCCCAAGTGCCCTCAAAAGTATACCCCACTCACCGCCTCTCTCCTTTGTCTGTTCTGAGATGAACTTCTCCAGCTTGGTCCTCAGAGAGATCTCCACCCCATACTGGCCATGGGTTCCGTCATCCACCAGGATAAAGTGGGAGTGGTTGTTGTCCAGGCAGGTCAGGTTCCCTTGGCCTTCCTCATCCAGTATGTACTCGGCAGGGAAGCTACCCTGGGATGGCCAGGGAAGTGTCAGACACAGACAAGGGAAGGTTCTGTAGGCTAGAAGACAGCTCCCCAAGGATACCAAGTCCCAGCCCCTAGAACCTGGAAATGTCATCTCATTTAGAAAAAGGGTCTTTCCAGATATGATCCTATAACCGAGCATCTCAGCCTTAAAATGTATTTTAAAGTTTTTTCCCCTCTCTCTTTCTCAACCTTAAGCCTTGGAACTCGTTTTAGAAATTTATTTTCACCATGCATGCTTATCTGACTGTATGCTCGTTTAGAAATCCCAGGGGCCAATCCTAAAACAGCCTGACTGCAGGACCCTACCACTTGGCTCTTTAACCTGACTGCAACTAAGATAACACCAACCAAACCTCCAGGAGGACCACCACCCTAGATAAGACACACCCTGTAACATACCTGCATGTTTCCCATACCAAGTTTCTCTTTTTAAATCTGGAATGTTTTGAGCCAAGAGCCTGGCAAGTTCCCCATCTGCTAGCTTTTGGAATAAAGTCACTTTTCTTCTACCATCTCTCATCTCTCAAGTTTGGCTTTAGGCAACAAGTGGTCAAGCTTGCATTGGTTACAAGCCTAACATAAGAAGATTAACCTGGAGTATTCCAAGTGGGCCCAAAACACCATCATATGTATTCTTACAAGAGTAGGGTAGTGGGTAACACACACACACACAAGAGGAGGGGGCAATGTGAACACAGAGACAAAGATGCAGCCACAAGTCAAAGAACACCTGGATTTGTCAGAAAGGGGAAGAGGGAAAGAAAAAGATTCTCCCCTTGAGCCCCTGAAAGGAGTGTTACCCAGTCACAACACCTTGATTTTGACTGAGTGTTATCAAGCTAAGAGTCGTGTCCTCCAGAACTGTGAGAGAATGAATTTCTGTTGCTTTAAGATTTTTGGTTACTTGTTATAGCCGCCTCAGGAAACTAAGACAGATTTTGGTATCAGGAAATAGGGTGCTGCTATAACAAACACCTAAAATGTGAAAGTGGCTTTGACACTGGGAATGGGTGGGAGGTGAAATAATTTTGACACTGGGAATGGGTGGGAGGTGATAGAAAATGTCTCAATTTCTTTGAACAGACTACTGAAAGAAACATGGGTATCACTGGTGAGGGCTCAGAAGGAAGGAACATGGTAGAGAAGGCTTTCATTGTCTTAAAAAATACGTACATTGTCATAAACAGAATTTTGGTGGAAACATGAACATTACGTGTGCTCCTAGTGAGGGCTCAGAAGGAAACAGGAAGCAGATTATTGCAGCTAGAAGAAAGTCCATCCTTGCTACAGAGTGGCAGAAAGCTCAGCTGAATTGTGTTGTGCAGTTTTGTGGAAAGCAGAGTTGTAAATGATAAACTTGAATATTAAGCAGAGAAGAGTCCCAAGTAAAGTGTTGAAGTGGCCTGGTTGTTTATTGCCGCTTATTATAATAAAATGCAAAAAGAGAGAGAAATTGGGGGAAGAACCAACAGGCAATGTGGAACTAGGACTTGATGATTTGGGAAATTCTCAGCCTATACAGATTGCATATAATGCTAAAAATTAAGAGAGTCACTGTTGAAAAGCAGACTTTAGAGTAAGATCCAAGGGTGTGGTTGGACAACCTTTTGCTAGTGATGAAAAGATTAGGCAAGTAACTACAGACTCACTCAACCATCTGAGCAGAAGCCGGGAGTAGAAATGGCATCGTCCAAGAAAGATCTGCAGAGGGCCTTCTCATTCCTGTGACATACACAGGACATACACACAATCTTTGCAAATGTTATATCAACAACAATTCTTCAAGCAGGAAATAGGCTGATAACCTTCAAGGAAAAGGAAAGATCACCCCCAGGGCAGAGCCACAGATGCAGCAGCAGAGGCCCAAGGTGAGAGCCCAGGGGCAGAGATCAAGCCACAGAGGATTTTCTCCAGATTTTGTAACCTGATGAGTTTTCCCTGTTGGATTTTGAAATTACTCGGGATTGGTGATCCCTTTACTCCTCCCACAATCCCCTTTTGGAGTAAGAATATCCAAAACTGCTATAATATGCCTATTCCTCCATCATATTTTGGAAGCAGATAACTTGTTTTCTAGTTTAAATGACACATATTTAAAGAGAAATTTTGCCCAGGATAGATCACACCCAGAGTCTCAGCTATACCTGATTTAGATAATGAGATTTGGGACTTTTAAGCTTATGATATTTACATGAGCGTCTGAACTTCGAGTTGATGCCGTAATGGGTTAAAATTTGAGGGATCTTGGGATAGGGTGAATATATTTTGTATGTGGGGTAGACACGAATCTTTGAGGGCCAGAGAATGGACTGAAATAGACTGAATAATGATATTCAAAGGTGTCAAGTCCTAACCCTGGAACTTGTAAATGCTACATTATTTGGAAAAAAACATCTTTGCAGATGTAAATTAGGGATCCTGAGATGAAGCAATTACTCTGGGTTATCTGAGTGGGCCCTAAATGCCATCACCTACAGAATTCACAGAGGAGGATGTGACACAAACACACGGAGAAGGTAACAGGACACAGAGACACAGATTGGATGTGGTGGGCACAGCCAAGGAATGCCTAGCACCCTAGGAGCAGGAAGAGGCAGGAAGGAGCCTTCTCTAGAGCCTCTGGAGTGAGTGTAACACCTGGACCATAACTGAACAGCACTGATTCCAGACTTCAGGCCTCCAGAACTGTGAGGGAATATGTTTCTGTTGCCTGAAGCTACCAGGTCTGTGCTCATTTGCCACAGCAGTCCCAGGAAACTGTCCCAGGGGAGGATGGCTGCAGGTCCAGAACATACATCTTCCACTGCCCACAGAGTGGGGAGCAATGGTATCACAGGAAGTCTTCCAAACTCAGAATGAGGAGAAACATAAAGCGTGATCTTGGAAGTTGCCTGGTCTCTCTTGGCCTCAGTTTTTCAATCCATAAAATGAGCATGCAAAGCAGAAGTCATTCCAGTGCAGCCCAGCTAAACACACCTATGATTCTGATGCAGAGGAAGATACAGACTGGCAGGGACTGGCCAGATGCCTTGCTGTGCCCCTTGGGAGCATCTGTAACTGACAAAGCGAATCCCACCCCAGAGAGACTCCTTCCCACTCCCCAGGGAAGTGAATGCAGCTGCCTTTGTCAGAGAAGAGGAGAGGTGCCCCTCATAAATCACCCTCAGAGTCACGGGCCAGTGTCTTTCCAAACCTCCCTGACTGTGAATTAAGGAGTATGTGTTCATGATGCCAACTCCATCATATCCTTAGAAAACCTTGTTGAGTGATCACATATCTTCCCAGCTCAAGGCTCCTCATTTAAGCAGCTGTTTTTCACTACCGCTGCCTGTTAATCAGAGGCAAGAGTGCTCTGTCTCCATCAAAAGAGAAGCTCATGTAGGGCACTGCCTGGGGGAAGTCACAGCATCATGGAGTGAAGGAGACCTCTGGGTGCAGAGAGTCCAAGGGTTCAAAGGTTTGGGGATTAGACTGCCTGGGCTCGATCCAGCTCAGATGTCCATTGGCTGTGTGATCTCAGCTGAGTTCCTTCCCCCCCAAGCCCATTTCTCAGGAGAGCAGCTTTAGGAATGAGCCCTCAGCAGAGGGGGCCTCAGATGACCCTTCTATGGACCCATCTTATGACCTTGAGGGAGGAGACAGAGTCAAAACAAGCTGGCTGCTCATCCCAGGTCACTTGTGTTGCCCAGGGCCAGGACATGAGCCCGACCTCCTGCAGCCTGTCCAGCCTCTCCCTCCATACTCCATCCATTCCAGCACCCGAATGGTGGTCTGTGTCCTGTGGTATCTAGCCAGAGTCCCCTGCCCTACCCCCAGCTCTCCACCTCTGACCAGGGCCCACCTCAGAGCCAGCTTTGCTCACCATGGGGTGGATCAGGCTCTCCCGGTGGTGGATGGTGCCCCAGGTGGCAACTCCAATGGTGATGACGTCTCCTTCCTTGTAGCTGCTGCTCAGGCTGAAGTCCCGCACAGCCTCGCCCACCTGCTTCATCACACCAGCGTGGGAGCCCCCAGTAATAATCCAAGCCCCTGGGAGTTGAGCAGGGTGCTCAGGACTTGTTGTCCTGAGGGGCACCCTGTACACAGAAGCCTGGTGCCCAGAGCCCTCGTGGGCTCCACGATGCTCAGGTCCCCTCACTCATGCCCTACACCAGGACTGAGCATGAGAGCTCAGAGCAGCTTTGCCCCAAGAGCAGCAAGTCCCAACAGGTCTGTTCACCTGCCCTGCCCCCAGGACAGGTGGGTGGCCACAGTTGCTGACCCACAGCCACCCCTCAAAACATAAGCACAAAGTCCTGTTTGTTCCTATTTGGGTTGTTCATCCCCAGCATGATGCTGCCAGTACCTCAGATGTGGTGCTGAGAAGCCAGGTCATGGTGTGACTGCAAAAATAACGACCTAAAACATGTGGTACAGACTTTGAGCAGAAAGTGGGCAGCAAGGACACTAATACCGAAAGCTAAATGATGCAATGTCAAGAGGTGGTGGCTCCTGCCTGTAATCATAGCACTTTGGGAGGTCAAGGCAGGAGGATCGCTTGAGGCCAGGAGTCTGAAACCAGCCTAGGCATCATAGCAAAACCCTGTCTCTACAAAAGAAAAAAAAATGTCAGGTATGGTGGGTGGCACATGCCTGTAGTCCCAGCTACTTTGGAGGCTGAGGCAGGAGGATTACTTAAGCCCAAGAGTTTGTGACTACAGTGAGCCGTGACAGTGTCACTGCACTCCAGTTTGGGTGACAGAGTGAGACCCTCTCAAAAAAAGAAAAATGAGAAGATGTGATAAAAGCATCACCTATGATTACCTGCGAACAGATGAGACCCCCAACAATTTCATGGCCTAGGCCAAAGAGGTGGCAAAGGTTATGAGTGTGCTTGCGGGAGGGTGAGCTGTGTCGGTTGGTCAATCTACAAGCATGGATGGAGGGAGAGGGAAAGTCCAGACAATCTGGGGCTTACAAATTAAAAGCTATAACCACTCCTCACAGCCACCAGCAGACCATACATCTGAGGATGCTTTGAGTGACACAGATCAATTAAGATATAGTTAATACTGTTTCAAAACAAAGGCCAGACCAAGGATGTGGCTCTCACATCCTTCATTAAAACCAGATCCTGCCAGGTGTGGGGCTCACACCTGTAATTCCAGAACTTTGGGAGGCTGAGACCAGCCAGAGCAACATAACAAGACCTCATCTCTACACACACACAAAAAAGGCCAGACGTGGTGGTAAACACCTGTAGTCCCAGCTACTCGAGAGACTGAAGTGGAAGGAACACTAGAACCCAGGAAGTCGAGGCTGTGCTGAACCATGGTTGTGTCACTGCACTCCAGCCTGAATGACATAGTGAAACCCCAACTCAAAAGAAAAAAATAAACCAAAAACACATCCTGAGAGGAGCTGGGCAACTCTTGGCTCATCTGGACCCGAAAATGTTCCTGTGTAATTAGCCTGCCTTTACATAACCCACCACAGAGGTCTTGGGCTCTGGGTCTACTCATCCATCACTTTCAGTGAACCCTAATAAAATTTGAGGTCACATGGCCCACTTCCCTGTGAAATCAGGGTGTAGCCGGGTACAGGGTCACAGCACCATGAGTCACGCCATCCATGTGGTCTGGCCCCTGCTGTGCTGTTACTAGAAATGAGACCTTGGGAAGTTCATTAACTCCAACCAGGCAGGTGCCTCAAGTGAAAAGATGGAAATATGGAAATATCTCCTTCCCTGATGTTGATGTGAAGCTTAGACAGCAGAGTTCAATGATCAAAAATGCCCTGGCATCCCCATGATTGGCCTGCTATTCCGGCTTCCCCTGGCTCCATGCCCACCCACTGAGATCACTCATCTCTTTGAGGTCCTGAGTCCCCAGCAGTCACAGGCTGGAGCCATGCCCACCCCCATGAGCAGATGGAGTAGTAGCAGAAAGTTGAGGGCTTAGCTCTAGGCAGGTGACAGGTTGGATGAGTCGGACTTAGGCTCAGGGCGTAGACTCAGCAGCCCCTGAGGGCCTTTTAGGTCCTCATGACCTGACTCTCCCACTCAGCAACCCCTCCACACCTATGCCTCCTGCATATGGGGCCTCTAGTCTCTCTAGCCTTACCTGTGGTCTGAGCCACCTTGACCAGGCCCCTTCGGAAGATGCTCTTCAGCCTGAGCTTCATGTTGAAATTCTTGGCCCCACCCGTCACGGAGATCAGCAGGTTGGGGATGTCCAGGCCCCAGTGCTGCGTCATGAGGTGGTAGATCACGCTGGAGGATGTGTCTTGGGAGACGCGGACGTACTGCAGGGGACCAGAGGACAGCAGAGGGGGCCCCTCTGTCAGCAGGAGGAGTGACTGCACTGACCCACAACATGCAATGTCAGACAGGCCCCAACCCAGGTAGGTGGACACCTCACACCTCGGGTTTAGATACAATGGGAAAGGGGGCGAGTGTCCAGCCAGAACATAGATCATGAGAGAAAAGAGGAGGTGAAGGCCCAGAAGAGAGGCTCAAGGACAGGCTGTCCCAGAGGAGGACCACCATCCCAGAGGAGGACCAGGACCTCCCTCTGGCAAACCTCCCTGGGCCCTGTACCCCATCAGGGCACTGCATCTTCCCTTCTTCTACTTGTTGGGAACACCCCAGGCCCTGATATAGCTTGGATGTTGTCCCCTCCAAATCTCACATTGAAATGTGACTCCCAGTGTTGGAGGGGGGTCCTGGTGGAAGGTGACTGTCCAGGAGGCAGATCCTTCATGAACATCTTGGTGCCCTTCTCATGGTGATGAGTGAGTTCTCACTCTATTCATTTTCACAAGAGCTGGTTGTTTAAAAGAGCCTGGCATCTCCTTCTTTCTCTTGCTCCCACTCTCACTGTGTGATATCCTTGCTCCCCTTGCCTTCTTCTGCGAGCGAAAGCTGCCTGAGGCCTTACCAGAAGCCGAGCAGATGCTAGGCATCATGCGAAACCATAAGCCAATGAACCTCCTTTCTTTAGAAATAACTCAGCCTCGAGTGTTCCTTTATAGCAACACAAAATGGGCTGATACAGAAGATGGTTACTGAGGAGTGAGGCGTGACTGTAAAGACACCTGAGAACATGGCAGTGGCTTTGGAGCTGGGTCACAGGCAGAGGCTGGAAGGTTTGGGGGGCTCAGAAGAAGACAGAAAGCTGAGGGAAAGCCTAGAACTTCTTAGAGTAGAAATGAGTGGTTGTGACCCAAATGCTGATAGAGATGTGGACAGTGATGGTCAGGCTGATGCGGGATCAGTTGGAAATTAGAAACTTACTGGGGACTGGAGGAGGTGCCCTCTTGTTACACAGTAGCAGAGAATGAGGCTGCACTGTGCCCACATCCAAGGACTTTGTAGAAGACTGAACTTAAGAGTGATGACCTCCTCCCCATGCCTTCCACCACAAATGAAAGTTTCCCAGGACTCATCAGAAGCTGAGCAGATGCCAGCGCCATGCATAACTGGAGCCAAGAGACCTTCTTTCTTTATAAATTACCCAGTATCGAATATTCCTTCATAGAAACACAAAACGGACTGACACGAACATGCTCCACCTAATGGTTCCGCTCCCTCCCCGAGTGCCAGACCCTGTACCTTCTCCACTAGGGTTTAATTAGTTCCTGCACTGCAGCTTTTTTCCTTCTTCCCTTGTGCATCCTGCACCATCCCTCTCTTGTCCCCTCTGTCCCTGGCTACTCTGTCCATGATTCCCTCTTCCCTATGGCCCCGCTGCCCCTGGTTACTCTGCTACAAGACCTCTCTGCCTTGTGGCCCCTCTGCCCTGTGGTCCCCCTGCCTCTGGCTTCTCTGGCCCATGACTCCTCTGCCTAGGGTCCCCTCTGCCCCATGGCTCCTCTACCCAGGATCCCCTCTGTCCAGTGGCTCCTCAGCCCCATGGCTCCCGCTCTGCCCAGGGTCGCCTCTGCCCCGTGGCCTCTGTTCCTGTTTCCCCTCTGCCCCATGTCCCTGTGCCCTAGTCTACCACATGACCTCATTAGGTTTAGATTTTCTCTCATCTGGACACTGCTGTCCCAGGTCTGTCCCCACTCCAGGCCCCTGATACTCCACAAGATCCTCCTAAGCTCCACAGCAAACTTTTCCTGTTCAGTTATGAGAAGAAAGAACACAGACTGGCCTGGAATTCCCCAACATCAGCACACCAGAGACAGAAAGGCTGATGGGGCAGAATGCAGAAATACAGCCGTGGAGTGGCCTCAAAAACAAGCAAGCTACAGCACCATCACTAAAGACCTAGTTACACCACCGCAGGGCTGCTGCCGCTCACCAGAACAGTTGGTGTCACAGGGCTGACCAGGGTCCAGAGGCCCTTGGAATGTAAGCCACATGACCACCGAAGGAAAGGGGCCACGGACCTGCCTCATGGTAGACACACAGTGCCAGCTGCCTGGGCTTTGTTGCAGTGCACTGCACCTCGAGTTCTGTCTCTGGGTTTCTCACTCACTGTGGGGCCAAAGGCATCTTCTCTAACTCCACTTATCCCTGTGGGCAGCTGCAGGAAGAAGGCTAGAGCCAGGGCAGAATGGGGGTCAGGACCTCGGGCTCAGCCAGGCTCAAACCCACCATCGCCGCTGCCCCCCATGGCCTTGAGCAAACAGCGGGACCTTCTGTGCCTCGTTTCCAGATGTCAGGACTGCCTCCCCAGTGACCCCAGAGACAGATGAGTTCAAAGGCTGGGGAAGATCACACACATGACAGTAATGCAGGGTGGCTCGGGGGCTATGGCCCCAGAGGCCTTTAGTCATATGATCCATCCCCGAGCCCCTCCTTGGCCAAGTAGGCACTGCCATGACGAACACTCATGGAGTCGAGTGAACAAGTCACACTCAGCTCTCAGGCTCAAGGTTCTGGACCACAGCACAGAGATAAGTGGCGTGAGCCCCATTAGATGTTGGGACAGTGATACCCAACATCTGCATCAGAGCCCTCCAAGAGCTTGTTAGATGTGGAGAGCTGATCGCTAATTCAGCAGGTCTGGGGTGGGGCCTGAGAACTGGCCCTGAGATGCTGCTGACCCAGGAACTATACTGCCATAGAGCACAGAAGAACCCAGCCCTTCGCCTGGGCCTATCCTCCAGTAGCCTCTGTCCCTCCCATGCTCTCCTGCAGGCCCAGGTTTGGATCTGCCCTACTCTGCCCTGCCAAACCCCCTTGTGTGGGCTCTCACTTCTGCAGCCAGGAATGCTTAGACGTCCTACACTGGGCCATCTAGGTCCCTTCCACTGCTCTTGCTTCCCTTCCCACCCACTGCAGCCATTCCAACAAGCCCACACCAAGCGTCTCCATGCCCTGTGCCCCTCTACTGGCTCCCTACGCCCTCCCAGGCCCCAATAAAACATTATCATCAAGGACCACCCAGCCAGAATTCACTTCCACCACTCTGGGCTTGCACTTTCCTTAGAAAGCTCACTGCATCTCCACCCTGCTTTGCAGATAACCATGCACTCTGAGAGCACAGTGTATACCCCCAGCCTGCTCCTTTCATAGCATGTGGTGGGCTCTGTGAGTCCTGGGTCCCTACTAGCCCCTTTCTCTCACCCAGGAAATGATGACCACCCTGTGTCACTGTGGGACCACATGGCTATAGCCAAAATTCAAAGCAATAGAGTGATGGAAACCAACCTTTCCTGCCTTCTGGCCCAGGCCTGTAAAGACAATGTCACCAAAGGCATCTGTTGGCATTTCCTGGACGTGCTTCTTTGGGTCCCACTCCATGCCCTGGAAGGTGTAGGACTTGGCAGCCTCCTCCAAGTGCTGTTCACGTGTGTAGCCACACTCACACACCACCTTCCTGCACAGACAGAATACGGGTCACCAGGGGGAGTGAGGTGCCTCTCCTGCTCCCTGGGAGAGGAGCATTAGAGGAGGCCCAGTGGAGAGCCAGGACCTTTCTTCCACCTGGCAGTAACAAGGCACTTGCCTCACCCACCCATAAAGGCAGCAGCACAGGCATACTGGGGCATCAGAACTCCTCCCACCCCCAACAGTAACAAGAGGTCTCTCCCCAGTGAATGTCAACTGAGCTGAAGGGGAGCTTGGACTTCCACCCCTACATGGCAGTCATGGGGTGGGGCCCTCCTTTCTCCACCACAGACATGTCAAGGAAACAAACTAAATCTGAGATCCAGGGTCTCAACATAAAATCTAAACCACAAAGGTTTTAATCAAAACTCACCAAGAACCAGGAAAATCTCAACAAGGATGAGGCAAGACAATCAACAGCCATCAACACTAAGATGACACAGATGTTAAAATGATCTGACAAGGATTTTTAACGTGGCCAAATTAAGAATGCTTCAACAAGCAATTATGAACATGCTCAAAACAAATGAAAAAATATAAAGTTTCAGCAAAGAAAGAGAAGATATATTAAATGCAAATTTCCAAACTGAAAAGTGGAGTAATCAAAATTTTAAAACTCAGTGGATAAATTCAACAGCAGACTGGAGGGGACAGAGGAGAGAATCCATTAACAAGAAGACAGAGCAATGGAAATGATCCAAAAGAACAACAGAGAGAAAACAGACAAAAACAAACAGAGCCTCTGGGACCTACAGAACTATAACAAAAGATCAAACATTCATGTTGTCAGAGTTTCGGAAGGAAAAGAAAAAAAGGGTAAACCTGGAAAAGGATGTAAAGAAATAACGGCCAACATTTCCCATATTTGACACAAAAGACATAAATTCACAGATTCAATATTTGGAATGAATGCCAAATAGGATAAACACAAATAAATTCATACCAAGACACATAATAGTCAAACTTCCAAAAACTAAAAACAAAGAAAATATCTTGAAAGCAGCAAAATGGAAAGAGCACCTTACCTGTGAGAAAACAATTCAAACAGTAACATATTTCTTATCAGAAGCCATGAAGGCCAGAAAGAAGTGGCACAACAATTTTTGAATGCTGAAAGGCAGAAAACTACCAACACAGAATTCTAGCTCCAGCAAAAATATCATTCTGGAGTGAGAGGAAGTCAAGACCTTCTCAACAGAACACAGGGAATTTGTCAGCAGCAGGCCTCCCATAAAAGAATGGCTAAAGGGAGCTCTCTAAACAGAAAGGAAATGAGAAGTAAAGGAATTTTGTAATTAGAAAGAACAATGGAAAGAGGAACCTCCCGAGTTTTCTAAGTTATGTTTGATGGTGGAAGCAAAAATTTTAACATTATCTAACATGGTTCTTGATGTATGTAGAAGAAATAGTTTAAACAAATATAAGTTAAGAAGAGTAAAGGAGTGTAAAATAAAATAATGTTTCTATGCTTCACTCAAACTGGTAAGAGTCAAAGTCAGTAGGTTGTAGTGTTATGTTATATAATGTAATACAGCAACCACTGGGGGAAAAAAAAGCCATGCAAGGATATACACTCAAAAATAGTATAGATAAATCAAAATGGAATTCTAAAAAATGTTTGAGTAACCCACAGAAAGTCAGGAAAAAACATCAGAGAGAACAAACAGAAAGCAAAAATTTTAATAGCAGACATAAGCCCTAACATATCAATAATTAGACTATGCTGGGCATGGTGGCTCAAGCCTGTGATCCCAGCACTTTGGGAGGCCAAGGCAAGAGGACTGCCTGAGCTCAGGGGTGTGAGACAAGCCTGGGCAACTTGGTGAGACCTTGTCTCTACAATAAATAAATAAATAATAAACAAATAAGCCAGGCATGGTAGCACCTGCCTATAGTTCCAGCTACTTGGAAGACGGAGGCAGAAAGATCACCTGAGCCCAGCAGGTCAAGGCTATGGTGGCCATGAGTGTGCCACTGTACTTCAGCCTGGGCAACAGAGTGAGACTCCGACTCAAAAAAATAATAGTAATTATACTAAATATAGATTTTCTAAATATACCAATTAAAAATGGATATTGGCAGGGCAGTTTAAAAAAATAGCATCCAATTATTTGTTGCCTACAAAAACCTAACTTCAAATATCATGATACAGGCAAGTTGAAAGTAAAAGAATACTCAGCAAAAAAAAAAATGACTAGCCGGGCTTGGTGACTCAGCCTGTAATACCGCACTTTGGGAGGCTGAGGTGAGCGGATTGCCTGAGCTGGCGGGTTCGAGACCCACCTGGGCAATTTGGTGAGACCTCATCTCTACAATAAATCAAAATTTAGCCGGGCGTGGTAGCGCGCACCTGTAGTTCCAGCTACTTGGAAGGCTGAGGCAGAAGGATCGCCAGAGCCCAGCAGGTCGAGGCTGTGGTGGCCAGGAGCGGCCACTGCACTCCAGTCTGGGTGACAGAGTGAGACTCCAACTCAAAAAAAAAAAAAAAATGACTGATAGAAACAACAACTTGAATGGTTCTCAAGGGGACTGTACTGAGTGAAAATGACATAGATCACATAGCATAGTATTCCATTTACATGACATTCTCAAAATGACAAAATCATAGAGTCACAGAACAGGTTAGTGATTGCCAGGGGCCAGGGATGGAAAGGGAGGTAGGCAGAGCATAACCATACAGAGAAAACACAAAAGAGATGTGGGTAGAGATGGGACGGTTCTATGTCTTGATTGTGGTGGTGGTTACACAAATCTACACATGCGATAAAATGACACAGAACAAAATACACACATTCTGCCAATGTTGAACTCAATGCATTGTGTACTGTATTACAGTTACGCAGAATGCAACCATTGGTAAAAACAGGTGACCTAGTATCTTTGAAACTTCCTGTACATCTATAATTATTTCAAAATAAAAAGTTAGCGCACACACAATTGAGGCTCCAATCAGAAGACAGGCTAGCACCATGCACAAGGTCTCCCAAGGCCTCCCCTTACCCAGGGACGGCTGGGTGCCACAGGACATGCCAACCTCCAGAGGCTGTTCTGTTTTCTCCTGTTCCTCTGGCCAGAATGAATCATATCTTTTTTCAACTGCTACATTCTCTCTTACATTATTTGTCTTATAGTTGAACTTTTTTTATTCCTTTACTGCAATTCATTGGTGTTTCAAGGAGATATGAGGTAAATTTACGTATTCTTTATACATTGTTTAATTGGAAATCCACAAGTTTTTTTAGAGTCCTACTTTTTTGCTAGTAATAACCTAGAAGACCTAGTACAGATGAGACCAAAAAAAATCTCTAAAATTAGATGAAACCTGAACCAGATGATACGGAAACACTATTTATTAGACCAGGAGAAAGAAAACTTGGGGTTGGTTTTTTGCCACATATCAACTGTCTGATCTCTGATGTTTCTGCCTTCAATTTCTCAATTATTAAAATGGGAAAAATAATTCATTCCCTGACATGCACCCTACAAGGTTTTATAGGCCCCTAAGGTCTATGCTCAAGGCACTTTCAGACTTGTGGGGATCCTGGAGAACACTTCCTGTGACCTCCTCTCTTCAGGAATGAGGAGCCTGGATCCAAGGTGGGGAACAGTGTCTCCAGGACAAGGACCCAGACTCTTCTCTCTTGGTTCAGTGCTGCCCCAAGTCCTCTCGTGCGTTCCTAACAACCCACACCAAGCTGTCTCCTGTCCTTCTCTCTGAACCACCACCTCTGGTGAGCTGGGATCCTAAGTCTAAGGCATTGCAAGCCTAGGACAGTGCAACCTGACACAGTGCAGGCTTCTCCTGGCACGGAAGCCACAGGGGGGCCACTGGCCCAGATTAACTCATCAGAGAGCCTCCTCCTGAGCTCTCACTCATACAGTCGTAAATGGTAGTACCATCACTAGCTCAATTTCCACCCAGTAGGGAAATGAGCACTCTTAGAAGTGCACTCTCCCCAGCCTGGACCCCTTCCTTCCATCTGAACAGTGGCTCCCTGGTCTCCTCAGCAGGTCTGCCTGAGCCCTGAAGAAAGTTTCCCCTTCTGTGCCTTATAGACAAGATCTGGTGGTCCAGGGAAGAGAAGTGATGCTCCCAAGGACATGAGATAAATGGTGGCAAAATATGAGGACAGAGGTCTGGACTATGCTGGCCATGGTGGAAACAGAGATGAGACGAGGCATGCAGAGCTGAGGAGGATGTGGGACAAATTAGACAGTGGTGGGGTCAGGGCAGCAGAGGGCTCTGAGCTTGGACAAATGAGGTAGGAAGATCCTACACCTGTTTCAAAGCTGTTCTTGTGGCGGGGAGGGATGCTTACCACTCATTCTACTCCTGGGCTTTCCACACAAGGAGAGGGAACAGCACGGAAGAGCACACTTGGCCCCCTTCCCATCCTGCTCCAGTGATCGACCTGACTGGTAATATCAGAGGAAGATTCTGCAGGATAGAGTTAGCATGGAACCCTGAGGCTGCTACTTTTAGAAGGGCCTGCTTGCAAGGTTGGGGTCTGGGCACTGGGTCTTAGGGTTCATCCTCTATCCCTAACTGCTAAGAGTGCTATACTGGGTGGAGACTGTTTGTACAACACGGTCTATACTGGACAGCTGCTTTCCTCCTGGGAGTCTGGGATACTGGTGGTTGTCAGTCAGAGGGTCCTAGGTGACCAGCCAGTACTATCCTGGGCTCTGGGTCTTGAATGTCCAGGACAGCAGTGTTGCCCTCGGGTTGCTGCCCTCTTTGCTGCTGGAGAAGGGAGCACATCTGGTGTGCCCCTCACAGAAAAGAGAGCATTAGAAGCCTCCAGATCTTTCCAGACTCTGCCTGACTTTTCTCTTACCAAGCCCATCATGTGTGCTTGTACTGTGAGTACAACTCTATGAAATGAGTCTTAGTAAATCCCTGGACATGAGGGGTGGCTTCGAGAAATCCTGCAAGCATGTTTATACCACCTACATCTGATCCAGGTCAGCATCTCCTTTCTCTCTGGGCCTGCTTGACCCAGAGAGCATCTGTACTTGCTTTGCTCCTGCTTCTGCATGGGAAGCATATGGCAGTGGTCTCACATGAGACACACGTGGCAGTGGTCTCAGACTCACTTCCACATGGGAAGCATATGGAAGTGGCCTCAGACCCCCTTCCACATGGGAAGTCTGTGGCAGTGGCCTCAGAACCCGCTTCCACAAGGGAAGCATGTGGCAATGGTCTCAGACCTGCTTCCACATGGGAAGCAAGTGGCAGTGGCCCCAGTCCCTCCATGCCCCCTCTGTGCCATCAGGACACAGGCAGCACAGGGCACTCCACCAGCCCTGAACATGACTGCACTACAGACCCCACTCTTCCCACATGGGGCTCCTTGTCCCTTTCTGCACATTCAGCCTTTCCTGGCCACGAGGGCCGCATCCATGGATTCAACCAACCACAGAAAAATTACAAATTAAAAAAAATTACAATACAACAATAAAAATAATACAACTTTTTAAAATTTAGGGTAACAACTATTTACATGACATTTATACTGTATCAGGTATTATAAGTAATCTGGAGATGACTAAGAGTACATGGGAGAATGTTCACAGGTTATATGTGAACTACGCCATTTTATATCAGGGACTTGAGCACCAAGGATTTGGGTGTCCATGGGGAATCCTGGGACCAATTCCCCCAGGGATACCAAGGGGGCAACTAAATATTGTTAGATTTAGCAGTGGTGAACTTGAAGCTGATTATGCACCAAGTATCTACAGGTTACTGTCCTGGAAGCTGTCAGCCAGGGCACAGTGATTGAGTTCTCTGCCTTGGGGTCTGCTCTTGTGACTGACCAGTGAGAAATGAGGCTATTATCTGAAAAGAAGCCATGCCAGTGTAGGGAGCCCCAAAACAGTCACAGGGCACTTTCAGTGACAGCACACTGGGCAGATCACAGGACCCCAGAAATGATGCCATCTTTTCTGATCATTCGTATCTGATTTCATATTACAATCCTCTACTGTTTTCCATGCACAGGTTGCTTCTCCCTCCCTTCTGGCCAATGGTTCCCCAGCTAGGGCTGCCCGTACCTTGGATAAACCCAAGGGAGGCTGAGGAAGAATTGGCAGATTTATTCCTGAACCCTTCAACTCTCTGTTCCGTGAGGAAATGAGATATTCTAGAGGTATCTGGTGGTAGCCACATTATCACCCTGGACAAGTCTCCTAAACCCTCTGCACCTCGGTCTCCTCATCTGCAAAGCAAGATAAGGGTCAGCCATTTCCCACAAGAGACTCATGTGGACCAAATGGAAATACTTCCAGAACTCTAATTCCTGTGCAGACACAGGGATTTTTTTTGAGTTGGAGTCTTACTCTGTTGCCTAGGATAGAGTGCAGTGGCACATTCATGGCCACACTAGTATCGACCTTCTGGGTTCCAGCAATTCTTTCACCCTAGCCTTCCAAGTAGGAGAAACTACAGGCTCATGCTACCACATCCAGCTAAGTTTTTTATTTATTGTAGAGATGAGGTCTCACCAAGTTGCCCGGGCTGGTCTCGAACCCATGGGGTCAGGCCATCCCCTCACTTCAGCCTCCCAAAGTGTTGGGATTACAGGCTTGAGCCACTGCACCCAGCCTGGGAATGTTTCTTATTGACCCTCTGCTGTGGCCCTGAGTGGTCCTAGATTGACCAGCTACCCCACATGGGATCAGAAGAAAGAAGCCAGAGTCCTTAGACATGAGCCATGTCACTTACCCAGCATCAGACAGTTTGGAACGTTCCACAAAATATACACATTCTTTCTTCTTGATGTTTTCAGGGATCCATGAGCTGAGATTTTCTTGCTGAGTGGAAAGAGGGTATCACATCAGTTGCATTCAAAAAAGAACACCCCAGCCGGGCTCGGTGGCTCAGCCTGTAATCCCGCGCCTTTGGGAGGCTGAGGTGAGTGGATTGCCTGAGCCCACGGGTTCGAGACCCGCCTGGGCAGCGAGACCTCATCTCTACAATAAATCAAAAAATCAGCTGGATGTGGTAGTGCGCGCCTGTAATTCTGGCTACTTGGAAGGCTGAGGCGGAAGGATCGCCGGAGCCCAGCAGGTTGAGGTTGCGGTGGCCGGGAGCGGCCACTGCACTCCAAGTCTGGGCAACAGTGAGACTCCAACTCAAAAAAAAAAAGCACACCCTGAGCCCCTCTGAGACACATCTGTGCTCCCTGGGGAGTGATCCTTACCATGCCGAAAGTAGGAAGCACCCTTGCCAGGTGCAGACTTGGAAGGGAAAAATGAATCTATGCAGTTATTTCCTCTTGGGCACTGCACTTTACAGTTCATGCATCGACGTCACCTTCCTTGGGAAAATCATGGTGTGGTGGAAAATAGGGAGGCTGAGAATCTGTGGACATGGCTTTTGTGCTGTCAGGGTGGGGGGAAGGGGGGGCATCACCCTATCTGCCACCCTATCTGTCTGACAAGGAGACTGCAAAATCTGGTGTGTTTTCAACACATTTGTGTCAAGGGCTTTGGGTGATGCTAGCCAGGGCCCCCTACTCCGAGGAAGGATGTGAAACCATTGTGCAACGGAGTCAGTAGGGGTAACTACCTGCCATGAGTCCCCACACTGGACTTCTGTGTTCACCCAGTGATTTCCTGTCAGACCAGCATGGGAAGTGACTGTGCAAGTTACAGAGGGCCAGCATGCCTAGCCAGGCTTGCTTCCCAATTTTCCCTCCCAAGGGTGTCACTGGGCTAGAGCTCCAAGGTCAGTAGATCCTCCACCTACCCCTGCACTCGCTCTGCCCCACAAGGGCTCTGGCTGACCTGGCCACAGTGACCTCCGTGCCACACACAGGCTGCTAGCTAGCCAGTAGAAAGCCTACCTTTTCTGTGTTGCTGAAGGCACATGGCTGTCTGCGGCCCTTGCAGAGGCTACCGTTGCTCTGCCGGAGATTGGAGACCCTCCCCAGGTCAGTGAACCTCTGGGGCTGCATCCCAAAGCCGTCCTCCTGGTCAGAGCCCGCTTTCCTCAGGGTCGAGGGTTCCATCTTGACCTCCCCACGCCAGGCCCCCTGCACCTTCAGGACTTCTCTTCTCCAGCTTGCCAGGCAGGGGTGTTCTGGAAACACACCAGGGGGTGGCTGCTGAAACAGAACGGAGAGAGGAAGATGAGGCTGATATTCTGAGAGGAACACGTGCTTCCTCACGTGGTGCCCTCATTCATTTCTCCTTTATCAGTCTGCACATTCTCCCAGGCTGCCTGAGCTCTGTCTCGGCAGACAGGACCCAGCCATAAACAGGAGAATACAGGTAACAGACTCTGTCTGAAGGCCCTAGAGTGTTCTGGGCAGTCAGGAAGCACACACAAATCTGGGGGCCCTGGTCACCATTCACAACAGTAATGACCTCAGATCACTGTGCAGGGCCATGGAAAAAGTTTTATACCCCAGCCCTGCCACTCCTGGCCACCCGCTATGATACCAAAATCACCAGGACCAGGAACAGGACAGTAGTCATCATGGGCCCCCCATGTCGTGCATGCCACAGTTACACAACTGTGCTGTTTCACATACCTCCTGTTTCCAGATATCAGTTTACTTCTTCATTTTCCAGAAAGAACACACAACCCCCACTGCCCACAAAGGAAGTTTCGTGGAATACCACGTCTCTCCATTCCGAGAAACCAGTCCACTAATTAAAACTAACCTTATTTTCTCAAGTCCTTTGCCCCTGGCTCTGACATGGTCTTCACCAAGAGTCTGCAGAAAATGAGAACAATTAATGTGTCCAAGCCCTGCAGGACTTTCTTGAGCCCCAGGCATGCACAAGGCCTTCCTCACAATGCCATCCATGGGGATATCCCCCAGCTGCTGCCACAAAGGGTGTGACAGGGAAGGCTGCTTGGGGGCAAAAGAACTGGCCACCAGTCTCACCCCGCCCCTGCCCTGAGACCCTTTCTCTGGCCAAACCTCTCCACAACACACCAGTGGCTGGCAGAAAGGCCTTTACTGTGTCCACTGATCATGTTTGGTGACTGAGCCCCACAAGGCTCAGTGCTGGGCACTTGGAGTTAAGCCACTGGCTGCTGACCTCAGGTCACCCAAAGCCTCTGCCACCCTCACTCCTCCCCCTTACCCCTTAGCCACACTTATACCCAGACCCCCTGAACCTTCGAGGAGGAAGGGAGATAGGCTTCCCTTGAGGGCCAGCAGGGGTGCTACCCAACCTTCTCCTGAAGTCCTCAGAGCAGAGGTGTGCACACACCTGCATGACTTTTCTGGAGCCACCTGGCCCTGCAGCTCTGCGCCTGGCTCCACATCCAGTTTTGGAGGGAGGCGAGTGAGCAAGAGATGCCCCCATATGATGGAAGGAAAAGGAGACTCCAGAAAGTTTATCACCACACATTTGGAGAAATCTAGCCTGTAGGTGGCTTTCCCTGCATGGGGTGAGCATGACACCATGCTGGAAACAAGGGGCCCGAGAGTAGACAGGACTCAACCACAGACAGGAGAATATGGGTACCAGACTGTCTGAAGGCACTAGAGTGTTCTTGTCCTGCTCATTTTCAGACACTTGCCTGCTTAGCATAGCCACTGGGGTCTCACGAATCTCCTCAAACCCCACTGCAAGCAGGTCCCGGGAAGCACATGGCATCCCACCACTGACCACCACATATCAGACTTCACAGGATGGAATTGGGAGGCCCCTGAAAACTGTGCGATGCTCGCAATGTGGGGCCACTGGCTTCCTCTCCTATCCCTCCCCATTCCTCTGAGGAAAGCACTTTCTCCTGCCCAACAGGAGGGAGTGCTTCCATCTAGACGCAGGAACGGGGGAGCCCCCAAACCCAGGACTGACAATGGCCTTACAAAGTGCACCATCCAACCTTCCCTGAGGTTCTCCTACCCAAAATCACCTGCTCAACCCCCTTCCTCACTCATCACTGAAACCATTGTGGGCCATGCTGGCTCACAGCTAAGATTCTCCATGAGCAACTGGTATCTGTGTGTGTGTGTGTGTGTGTGTGTGTGTTAAAAACACTCTGGAAGGAGATGAACCTCATAGAAGACTGGTGAACAGATCTGAGCAGGGGCAAGGCCCACTATGGACGATTTCCAAATCTGAGCTCTGTGGCACAATTCTGGAAAGAAGGGGTCCTGTGGAGATCCTGGGAGTACAGACAGGAAGGGAAACCTCCATGCCCTTCCAAATTAGTGGAGAGCAGCCCTCCAGCCCTCTTCTCCAAGTGTGGGGCTGGAAGACTACCCACCCTCAGGAGAAGACCACAGGACTCCTGGCACAACTTTGTATAGCTGTTTCCTGAGCCAGGACCAGAGACTCACAGAGACCCAGGTGCATCCCCAACATCCGGCCAACAGATTCTCCAGGAAACAGAACCGATTATATACGTGGGTCGGCCTCCCACACTGGCCAGGACTGGGACAGACCCCCCTCCACCCCTTCAGTAAACCCTGGGGCGGTAGGTCCCTGCGCGCTCCCGGTGCACCCTCTGAATTCCCCCTTGAAAGCCCTTGGGAGACCACAAACTCCCCGCGGCAGGTGAAGGGACACAGGAAGTAAGAGCCGTACTAGTGGCCCTGTGGTCGGCTGCAGGGCCAGAGCCGCAGCCGAGAATAGCTGAGTCCCTCCTCTCCTGGCGGCCCTCGCGCCTGGACAGGGTCGCCCGAGCTGCTCAGCGTCCCACGACCAGATCCTGCCTCCCGTGCCGAGTCCGATAAGCCTCAGCTTGCACCCCGCGCCCCTACACGCATTCGGCACTACCGCCCGCGCCCCTGCGCCCCGCTGCGCCGCGCACTACCGCCCGCACCCCTACACCAGCGCACTGGCCAGTCGCCTAGGTCCCACACCCCGCGCCCCTTGCACGCGTTCGGTACTCCGACCGGCGCCCCTGCGCCCTGCCGCGCCCTGTCCCCAGCAAACGCCCCTGCGCCCTGCCGAGCCCTCACCACCAC